CTTTATGCACACCCACTTACGCATGCAAACTGACATACACCGCATGTACAGTCACACTCACCACATGGCACACATGCACACGCACCGCATGTATGTACACAGACACTTTTCGCATGTACATTCACACTTACCGCATGCACACTCACACACACTGTATGTACAGTCACACTCACCGCATATCATGCACACACAAACACGTAACGCATGTACACACACACTAATAGCATGTACGGTCGCACTTAACGCATCTACACTCACCGCATGCACACACCCACACTTACAGCATGCACTCTCACACTTACCACATAACACTCAACGTACCGCTTGCACACCCACACTTATCGCATGACACTCACACTTACCGCATACACACTCACACCTTAGATACAGACACACTTACCTTAATGACTGTACCGTTAAGGGTACAGAAATAGGTGGGTTCTTAAAAAGCCAACAATTGTTGTAAATTATTTATTTTTCTTACTTCCGTACACGTACAAGTAAGTTCTATGAAGGGGATGACTGGCCTGACGTAGGGCGAAGTCCAAGCGCTATTCCCCCAGGGCCGTAGACAGCCAGCTAGCAGAAGTAGCCGGTGAAGCCCAAGCTCGACAGTGATGATGGCTGTTGGTAGGAGGGTAGGCCAACACTCCGTTAGCTCGCGGCTCGGCAACAGTAGCTCTTAGGTAGCAGGTAGATGCTAGGTGGTAGTAGATCCTAGATAGCAGTAGATCCTGGAATTCCAGACGGAGGCCAGCATTAGGGAAACTTCCTATAGCACTATATGTACCCTAGTCAATTCCAGCACCCCTTGTAGGAAGTTAAAATTCTTAAAGCTAAGCACTAAGCAGCCTCAGCAAAAGAGGTAATAATTAAGCAGAACAGTTACAATGTTTCAATAAATAAAAACTCACCCCAGCGGGATCAACCGCACCTCGAATAATTTAGATTTTAATTGTAGGTAAACAGGTACAACGGTCGTTATTAGGAGGGTCACGCGAGTTGCGAACTTGAAGCGGTCTCAGGTGGAAATGAAAGAGGAATGGCCCGAACGGGGACTCGTCGTCGTGTCCGAATCCTACCGAGTCTTTTGTTTTAGAGATCGGTGAGAAAAATGGTTCACGCTGCGCGGATAAAATTAACTAGTTTATGGTTCCGTAGAATAACTATTTTAAATTAACAATATGTAATAATTTAGTACTTTTTATTTTTAGATTAGAATATTATATTCATCATCATCATCATCATCATTACAGCCTTTCATAAGTCCACTGCTGAACATAGGCCTCCCTCAAGGAATGCCACAAAGCACGGTCCTGAGCCACCTGCATCCATCGACTTCCTGCATGCCTTACCAGGTCGTCACTCCATCTCGTGGGGGGTCGCCCTACACTTCGCCCACCGGTACGAGGCTGCCACTCGAGAACCTTTCTTCCCCATCGGTTGTCGGTTCTTCTAGCTATATGGCCGGCCCACTGCCACTTCAGCTTACTAATCCGTTGGGCTATGTCCGTTACTCTAGTTCTACTGCGGATATCCTCATTTCTAAGTTTATCACGCAGAGAAACTCCGAGCATAGCCCTCTCCATAGCTCGCTGAGCGACCTTGAGCTTCCTCATACGGCCAGCTGAATATTATACTACTATTATTTATTTAAGATTATATCTATATTATTATCAATTTAAGATTTTAATTAATTATAAGTATTTGTAAGGGTGCATTCAGATGTACCGTTACATGACACTAACACTCACCGCTTGTACACTCACACTTCCTGCATGATACTCACACATACCGCTTATACTCTCATACTTACCACATGTACACTCACACTTACCGCATGACACACTTACCGCATAACACCAACACTTACTGCATGCAACCTCACACTTACCCCACGACACACACCGCTTGCACACACACACCACATGAACTTCCACACTTACAACGTGACACTCACACTTACCGCATGTCAAACACACACCGCATGCACACCCACACTTTTCGCATTACACCCGCAAGGGCACTTTCACTTACCGCTTGACACACACACACTTACCGCACGACACATACACCGCATGCACATATACACCGCATGCACCCACACACCGCATAAACTTCCACACTTACCACATGACACGCACACTTACCGCATGTTATACACACACACACCGCATGCACACCCTTACTTTTCGCATTACACTCACACTTACCGCATGGCACACACATACCACAAGCGCACTTTCACTTACCGCTTGACACTCACACTTACCGCACACACACACACACCTCATAATACTCACACACACACACACACACACCGCATAATACTCACACTTACCGCATGACACGCATACACACTTACCGCGTAACATACACACACCGCATGAACACACCACACGTACACTCACACTTATTGCATAACACTTACACGTGCCGCATGCGCAAGCGTACTTATCGCATGACACTCACACTTACCGCATGTTTACTCACACTTACCGCAAGTACAGTCACACTTACCGCATGTACACTCATGCTTACCACATACACACTCACACGTACCGCATGCACACCCACACTTATCGCATGACACTCACACTTAGCGTATGTTCACTTAAACTTACCGCAAATACAGTCACACTTACCGCATACATACTAACGCTTGCCGCATGTACAGTTACACTTTCCGCATGACACTAACACACACTGCTTGTACACTCACACTTACTGCATGCCACTCACACTTACTGCATGACACTCACACACACCACTTATAGTTTCACACTTACCACATGTACACTCACACATACCGCTTGACACTCTAACACACCGCTTGCACACACACTTGTTGCATGCCACTAACACATACCGCATATCACTCACACTTACTGCAAGCATACTCACACTTACCGTATGACACTCACACACACCGCATGCACATCCACACTCACCACATGATACTCACACTTAACTCATGTCACACACACACACCGCATGCACATTCACACTTGCCGAATGGCACACTTACCGCATAAAACTTACACCGCGTGTACACTCACACTTACCGCAAGTACAGTCACACTTACCACATGTACACTCACACAGACCGCATATACACTCACAGACACCGCAATTTAACATCTGATTAAATTTATGCATATACTAACACCGGTGAAGCGAGATGAAAATTAAATCTTATCGGTCTAATCCCAACCAAAAATCTTAATTGAGAAAGTCCAGTCACCGAGCATAAAGACTGCCATTAATTTTTATTTTGTAGTATTGTAAATACTACGGCCAAAAACTTCTTTTAATAGGTGGTAAGACTCATTCTCTACGTAAGAGTCCGTTTGTACCACCCTCTTACGTATTTCTGCCGCCAGATAGTAGTGTTGAGTAAAGGGCATAGAGCCAGTATAATTACAGGCAACAGTGAAGCCTCGTAGTCCTCAGATCACACAACAGATAAAGTAATTACTGGTTTATAAGTTGCAGTAACCTCTTACCATCATCTGTTGTGTAATGGTCTAAATGCCTGTATAATTACACGATGTGAGGCAGAATGGGATAAAGAGCCAGATGACAGGCTGCAAGGCATTCCATCTTAGCCCTCAGAGATGACTTAATTTTTAAAAATTTGTACGAGTAGTTACCTCTTACACTCACGCGGCGAAGGGAACATACTAAAGTATGTGAAGTAAACGCGACGCGTAGGTAAAGGCGGAAACTCGTCATTTGAAGTAAGTTCTCTTAATTTAGACAAGCGTAATTTTGTAACGAAACTAATTCTAATAAAATTTTATTTCTATAATTCTTATAATTAACATTTAAAAAATAATTGTTTTTAGCACTCTTGTCTATGGTTCTGAATAAACGTAATGATTATATACTCTTTGGTTTAGAGATGTCCCTTCTAAATATTACCATACTCTTTGGGTTCTACAAAGGTGACCTTGGATTATTTCATGTATATATAGGTCCGCAAAGGGACAGATTAAAACGTCGTTAATTTCCATGGTGTTACAATCACTTTGACTTAAGTCATAGAGACAGCAGAAGACTTATAGATATCTTATAATTAAGCAGCACTTGAGCATAAATGAGTAAATTACACTACAGCCATGTTGTGGAAAAATACATTGAATTGTATAAATAAATATGAAAATGAAAAGAGTACTATATTGTTACGAGCTTGGGGTTTGAGACAATTAAAAACTGCCGAGTGAATTACCAAAATTGACACTTTAATTACAGAACACTAATTACAACTTAAACCACACTAATAATAAAACACAATTGTACTTTTGATCACTTTAGTTCGCATTTGTATCGCTTCGAAGTATTCGCTTGTATCGCCAATTCAATACTCACTCCGGTCGCGGTCCATACCGGCCTTATGTAGGGTCTCAGATAGTTCCCAGAGCCTTCTACTGTAGAAACATCTAGAATGTTCGAGTACATACCGGTCCCGACTGACTAGGTGTCGATAGTTCTAGAAAGTTCTTCTATGGAAATTTCTAGAAAGATCTTGACTCTCTTAATTCTGCTACTCGATACTAGAGGGCGCTAGTGGTAACTAGTGTTGCCATGTACCATGCATTAATTATGGCGCGCAACAATATAATATAAATTTCCGCACAGGGAAAGTGACTAATGGCCAAATACTCAAACGCTACTCAATTTAAAGATGTTAAGTCTCGTGGTGTCTCAGGCACTTCGACTTGAAGTGATAGAGGCAGCACGACGTCAATGACGTCTTAAAATTCAGCGGCGTTTGAGTATTTGGGCGTAAATGACTTAACTGCAGTATCCACTTACAGGACTGTATCATTTTTATCACTCCAGTTTTATAAACTAACTCATGTTGAGTTACTTAATGACTTAAAAAAGTTAGTAAGTGAGTAAATACCGCTACGAAAAATATTTTAACACATATTTTCATAGCAAATTAGCGGGCTACGTCCACGTACCTCGCTGAGATAAAATACACTTCTCCATAGTACCCTGGGCAAACTTCGGAACCATATAAAGAATCACTCGGAACGGCAGAAATGTGACTTGTGTGGGAAGACGTTCAGGGATCGAACTTCTCTGCGGACACATCTTTTGTGAGTATTGTTTTAAATGTCTTCTTTTTCATCAACTCTTATTAGTCTACTTGTGGACGTGGGCCTCTGATTTTGTAGAGAAGAATTGCCCAAATCGTCACGTCATTGGTCTGAGTATTTTATGTCAGGTGTTAACGAGATAGTTGTAGATCTAACGAAATCCAAAAGATCTTTCTGGTGTTCCAGTTCTTTTACGACACCCACAGTATGAAATGAGTAGTTGGGATCCATACATGGGATCGTACACCGCCACTATAATATAACTATAATTTAATTTACAAGTGAGTTTTGTCCTCCGAGATTATAAAAAAAATTGGTCCCTTAAGCCTGAATAATTCTGGTCCTCCGAGCTCGAATAATTTTGGTCCTCCGAACCCGATAAATTTTGGTTAAATAACTTTTTACCGCGTTTTTATTAACTCTCTTTCTTCCTTTGAATATTAAATAAAGAGCAATGGCAGACTTTCATACATAAAATTAGTTGAGAAGAAATGGTAGCGTCTATATACCAAAAATATCTTAAAATGTTAAGCGTCAGTCCCTTAATAACTCTGTCAAAGAATTTTGTACTGAGAAGGCGTCAAAAAAAAGATATTTACATTTGAACCTTTTTAGGTTATGTCCTATGTCACTTGGAAAAAGTCATGTTTACTGTGGTTGTTTGATGTTAGCTTAATACATAATACATAATTGAGAGTTTTTAGATTATTGTATCTCTATTATATATTTGCATACTATAAATGTATATTTCTGTCAAGGTTCTAGGGCTTTTGTACCATAGTGACATTCTCAGAAGGGCTAGAACCCAGAGCCGTAAAGCCAGTAAAAAAAACAGTGACATTTTATTTTAGATAGTGTTGGCATAACATTAAATGGAATTATTACATAGTACTATGATTGAGATAATGTATTATTGTAGGAAATTCTTTGTAAGAGACTTATTCTCAGCCATATTACCGATAGTACAGTTATTACTACTAATAACTTAATATAAAAATATTTTGTGTATTGTGTTGGTAGTGTTACAAAGTGTATACGAAAATAGTAGGAATATACTAAATGGCAACATTTGAATAGAGTAAAATGATTTCAGTCATTTGATATTCCCAAAAATGTTTGTTTTTTTCTGTGGCTTTAATTAAAATACATTTTTATTTGAAAAATCATAGAAAAATAATAAAACTCATTTTATATATAACTTATTTCTAGACGCTACAATTTTTGTCAACTATTTTTCTGCCATTGCTCTTTTGCATTTGAATTTAAATTTCCTTCCCGATGAGCTTAATGACTAATTTTCAATATAGCTCAGAACTATATGACAGTGCAATATAAACTCATTCTCTTATCTGTCTGTTAGTTGGTCAACAGGTAATTGTTGGGTAAAAATTTTGCAATCGAATTTAATTTCACTTCCCGATGAGTTATAGAATTGAAACTTCAATATAGCTCAAAACTAGTTAACACTGCAATATAAAATCATTATCTTTTCTACTGTTTGTTTGTTTGCCTGTTCTCTACGAAGTTCGCAATCGATTTTAAACTAACTTCTCGATAAGCGATAGACTTGAATTTTAACGGGATAATAAGACCACCAATCCATCCTTCCGTTACTGCCTATAAAAGTCCACTGATAAACATAAGCTTCCCTCATAGATTGCTTCATGGAGGGATTTTGCCATAGTTGGGACGCTTGGCAAGCGGTTGGCAACCGCATCGTTTGAATTATATTTATTTTTAATTGAACCATCCCTAGTATCCACAACGGAGAGAAGGAGTACGAGTGCCCGCGCTGTGGGAAACGATTCCTGTTCAAAAAGGCCATGCAGATCCATCTCGTCACACATGAGTCCTCCGCGCAGGTCTACTGCTATCAGGTATATTGACTTCTTCTTTCTCCTTCCTCAGCCCGTCAAAGTACACAGATTAGTGGTTACCTAGTGGTCGAAATTCGGTCGTAATTCATTACATTTTTGTTTATTAAGCAAGCTATATTTCACTTTCAACCGCATATTAATCTATATCTATACTAATACAATAAAGCGGAAGAGTTTTTTTTTTGTTTGTTTAAACACGCGAATCTGTAACTACTTACTAGTCCGATTTAAAAATTATTTTTATATATGATAGCCAGATTCACGAGGAATAGTATAGTATAGCATTAGGCTACACCGCTCCGCTAACCTAAAATATTGACTTTTGTTAGGCAAGTCAGAAGAAAAATCGCTCCCGAAATGATTTCTTCGCGTGCGCTGGCGTAATGGTTAGTGATACGTAACTTCAATGTTGTACAAAAATATAGATCTTTCATCTTTTTTTTTCTTTAAAAATACTTTACCCCCACACTAGGATTTTCTCCTGTGTCGTGGAGGCAGTTTACAAACACAAATTGCACAAGGACAAACATCCAGACCCGGAACAATTACTTGTAGGCCATACAATTACTCTGGTTCTACTGCGGATATCCTCGTTTTTAAGTCTATCACGTAAATAAACGCCGAGCATAGCCCTCGCCATAGCTCGCTGAGCTACTTTGAGCTTCCTCATACGGCCAGTAAGGAAGGACCACGTCTCAGATCCATAGGTCATCACTGGCAACATGTACTGGTTGTACAATCTAGTTTTGAGGTATGCCTTACGAGAAGATGTGTCGTAATCTCCCGAACACTGCCCAGCCGACTTGAATCTGTCGATTGGCCTCTCGGTCGAAGTTGGACTTACCTAGTCGGACTATTTGTACCAGGTAAACATTCAATTGCAGAGAGGTGTAAGACAGGGTGACGTCATATCCCCGAAACTCTTCACCGCTGCATTGGAAGACGTTTTCAAGCTTCTGGACTGGAAAGGATACGGTATCAACATCAATGGCGAGTACATCACTCACCTTCAATTTGCCGACGATATAGTCCTTATGGCAGAATCGCTGGAGGACCTAAGCACTATGGTCAATGACCTCAATAGTGTCTCCTAACGGATAGGTCTTAAGATGAACATGGACAAAACAAAGATTATGTTTAATGTCCATGTCACACCTATGCCGGTAGATGTTGGGAGCACTAAGCTCGAAGTTGTTGACGAGTATGTTTACCTGGGACAAGTAGTCCGACTAGGTAAGTCCAACTTCGACCGAGATGTCAATCGACGGATTCAACTCGGCTGGGCAGCGTTCGGGAAGCTACGACACATTTTCTCGTCAGACATACCTCAAAACCTTAAAACGAAATTGTACAACCAGTGCGTGTTGCCAGTGATGACTTACGGAACTGAGATGTGGTCCTTCACAGCTGGCCGTATGAGGAAGCTCAAGGTCGCTCAGCGAGCTATGGAGAGGGCTATGCTCGGAGATTCTCTGCGTCATAAACTTAGAAATGAGGATATCCGCAGTAGAACTAGAGTAACCGACATAGCCCAACGGATTAGTAAGCTGAAGTGGCAGTGGGCCGGCCATATAGCTCGAAGAACCGACAACCGATGGGGAAAAAAGGTTCTCGAGTGGCAGCCTCGTACCGGTAGGCGAAGTGTATGGCGACCCCCCCACGAAATGGCGTGACGACCTGGTAAGGCATGCAGGAAGTCGATGGATGCAGGTGGCTCAGGACCGTGCTTTGTGGCATTCCTTGAGGGAGGCCTATGTTCAGCAGAGGACTTATGAAAGGCTGTAATGATGATGATGATGAATGTATTTGATATACATATTATGAATAAATTTTAACTTGATGCACGCCTTCTCCATAAAACTTTAACTTTGCCAAATCTCACACTCCTCCGTGCGTACAATATTCTTAAAAATGGATACAATTTTTTTTTCTTCACGTATTAATATACAAATTTTGTTCCAGTGCGACATGAACTTCAAAAACCAGATGTCGTATAACCAACACATTAAGTACAACTTGAAGCATATCGATCCGGCGAAACTGAAGTAAGTATTCCGCTTATAGCAACCTATACTGATACGAGTACTATTCTTAATATTTGTTTTTATTATGGAACTTTTAATCTTGGCCGTGTTTTCAGGATTATAATTATTTCTGAAATTAAATGCAACAAATTTTACGGATTTTATCGCATTTTATTTAATCTTTATATTCCCGATGTATGGTGTACTTTACAGCACCCATGGTCACGGTCACTACTGAGGTGTTTGACGTCCCGATGTCATAGTTAGCCCGGCTACCTTCAGCTTTAGAAAATTAATTTTTGGTCCAATCTACGCAGAACGAGCTTACAGTATTTTGAAGTCAATTTTTACCATCAGTCAAGTGTAATATCTCTCTACAAGATGCAGAAGTGTACAAGCTTGATTATGAATGTGGTCTCTCTTACATAGGACAAACAAAAAGATTTGTAAAAACCAGCGTAAAAAAACATAGCTGACGTGGAGCACCGACGCTCTGGAAAGTATGCAGTCTGTGAATATGTTCGAGATCGTCCCCGCCACTACATCAAATTTAATAGACCACAAATTCTCGCAAAAGAACACCGATTCCTTCCACGGATGATTCACGAGGCTATTCAAATTAAAATACATAAGCACTCGAAACGTAGGGAAACAAAAGCGATAAAATCCTTAACATTAGTTTAATTTAATGTGTAGTATTCGCGTAAATATAAGAAATCATTTGTTTTGGAAAGTTCCACTGCTGGAAAAATCTAAGTAGGTTCTGTCTATTCTAGATACGCATGCCAACTTTGCGACAAGAAGTTCGTGAAGGCGAAACGATTGGAAGAGCACAACCTCGCCGTGCATTTGAAGGTTACGCCGATACAGTGCACGATGCCGGGTTGTAGTTTTGTAAGTACGTCCAATAGTATAACACAAAAATGAATTAAATAGAATATAACAAACTTTAGTACTGCCAATGCTCCATATGTGATCAACAATCGAAGTCTAAATCTTGTTGCTATAAAGAATTTATACTTGGTAGAATAAAATATATTTTTTTATTATTAAAAACGTACTGCATAATATTTCCTAGCCACTAACTATACAAAAACTGTACACTAACACTAAAAAAACTATACCATCTTCTTTATTATGTGTTTGAAATAAAATCGTAGTTACGTCTGCGTAACACATTAATTTGCAACGGGCTAATATTTCATATCTTTATTTTCTCACTTTCCAACACATTATATCTATACCCATCGCACACACGTCTATAATGTTCATACAATATAAACATGTTGGTCCGAGTATGCTTCCCTGTGGGACGCCAACTGTAACCGATGTCGAGTAAGGTATGGCGTTATTGAGTTTGATTCGTTGTGATCCTCCGGACTGAAAGCTGCGAAACCATTCAAGTGCAGTACCCCTGATTCCCGGAAATTCGAACTAATTCCAATTTCCTAAGTAAGATAGAAACTGAGACAGGGTCAAAGGCCTTAGTTAAGATTCTGCAGCATGCAGGATAGGATCACACTCCCACACAATATCAGTGTGAAATAGCAGGTTAAGATGAGGATTTCTTTCCTTCTCCGCTGCATGCACATTTGTACAGCACGATTGAAAGGGCCTATTGCCACAATTAAGAAAAAAAAGATCAGTAGTGCATCGCATGTTATTTCCCGCCGAAACCTCGTAATGGAAAAGTTTGATAGGGATTATTATTTTTTAAAGCTAAATTTGTGTGCTTTGGCTGTATCACCAATTATTATGAAGCGCGATAATAATCAAGCACTGGCTTATACTAATTAAAAGATCAAATAAAACTTTTTAGATTAGATTTTAATTAAATTACTTTTTTGTATGAATTTTCCTACAATAACTTGGGGAAGTCAAGCGATGAACAAAAAGAGTCGTGCCACGTGTATTAATAAAATTGCTTAACTAGTAATCTCAGTTTCATAAAACTGTGTACGTGTAATAAACGGTACATTCTGGTCCACGAAACTACCTATACAATTATCGGTTACAAACAATTACGTTAAATAATGCCCACCTCCTGCAGGCATTTCGCCGAAGCAAAAGTTTAACTTGATACTGAGTTAGTGGTCAAAGGACTGTTTGCCACAATTAATAGAAAACAAGAGAAGTAGTGGGTGGGCTGTAAGTTCCCGCCGATACCCCCTGATGCCAAAGAGTGATAGCGATTCTTATTTTTTTTTATAGAATAAGGGTGACAAACGAGCACACAGCACACCTGCTATGGGCCATAGACATCTAAATCTATCTTCGTTTGCGAAATAAAATGCAGATGCGTCGTCAGTCGTGAGGACTAATCGAATGCCTCTTTTCCAGTAAAAAGGGTCTTATTGTATAAAATATCTTTATTTCCAACTGCAGAACATAACACAAAAATTATTTGTATTTGAATTGAATTTTGGTATGATTTTTCATATAAAACCTCTTGTTAATCTGAGATTTTTAAGTCCCTTGTAAATAGACATTATGCAATGATATTTCATAAAAAATCCGTTATTGGTCTGAGATTTTAGGCCCCATGCTGTTTGTATGAGACATATAACAATAAAGTACGTGCCAACAATAGTATTTTGCTCAGCATGTCGTAGAGGCTACTAAGGATATATTGTGGTTGTGAGCGTGCAGGCGACAGGCAGCCGTCTATCGCACGCAGTAGCACACTCAAGTGTTGCCGTTTTAGCGACTTTGTCGCTAGATCTAGTGGATTGTGTATATGTTTGGCGACACTTTTTCTAACGACTAAAAAAATAAAAAAAGAGTGCTACTTTTTGTATACTAAACTCCGGTAGTGTTGTGAAATTAGAAGAGGAACTATATATTATAATACAATATTTAAATGTAGTTAGCTAGAAACAATACGAATATTGCTATTGGTTTTTTTTGGAAAACCCCTACCAGAATAACATTTGATCTCGAGAAACGATCGGTTTGAAGCCTTCTATCAAACGATACATCAGGTATCACGGTTTCTTTATCTTACCATTTCATTCCTTCATCACCACCGTTAAAGGAAGGACTAACCAGTTTCTACGTTACATCATCGCAGAACAAACAGGTTTTCATCAGCATAAATAGTTTAGTTTGTTCAATTGTCGTCATTTATATTAGAATCTAATTGTGGAAATGGAAATTCCTATAAAAAAGAACACTTATGTTCAAAAGTATGGATGAGAATGGCATCAATAAGAAAAGTTTAAAATGTGGTTAAAAGCTTGTACACGCCCCTAGCTGCCCCAACAAGGCTAACGGGATTAGGGCCCATGAGTAAGCCCATCGACGAGCAGCAGAGGGACGGGGCCAGAATATGGCAACGTGGAATTTCTCTAATTACACTAAACAATATGGGAGGACGCTAGAAACACATAGTACTTACCATTATCCGAAGCTAACTTCGCACCAAGGCTTGGGCAGGCCGTGAGTGTGTGTAATAGTGGATGGCGAGTAGTGTACAGTGAGGTGTGAATGTGTGGGGCCTTGTCAAGCATAGGCGACCAGCCGCGGCCGAGTTCCAAGCTGCTCCAAAATGCTGCACCGCTTCAGACTGCTTCGGCGCCGGACCACAATCACCTTCCTCTTTCGTCACGATGACAGTCAATTAACTCTATCGTACGATTAACTAACTTACAGAAGCCACTAACTATCGCTGGGTATAAGGTTAACGCACAAAACGCACACGGAGTTTACGGATCAAAGGTCACTACCGTTTCGCGTAGCAACAGTTAGTTCTAGAATATCAAAGGCCGCACTAGCTAATATCGTCGAATGCACTTATACAGATTCTGAGTCGGACCCAATAAGTCCCTGGGAAGCTCTCCAGCTAGGAGTACGCGTCACAAATCCCAGACCGCACACCCACGGGCCGCGCCTAATTATTCCGAGTTCCCTAACAAAAATTGACAGCGTGCAGACATTAGCACAGCTAGCAGACGACTCCCCTTTTCGCTCGCGACCCGCGCGCCACTGCCACGCTCGGCCGAACTTCAAACCGGTATCGCCCAGAGCCCCGCGCCCCCTAGACGTCGATTCCGACAACAGCGTTTGGCGCGAACAAACCCCCGTCCCGGACATAAGGATTTAGGTCCGCGAGCAAACCGTTCAGCGGGACAAGGTCGAGACTGCAAGTTGCAAGACCGAATCTACAACCAAACTAGGCCACCTTAGGCAACCCATCAGATCTTGCAACCCTAACCAACGCCTCAAAATTACTGCCCCAACGTGGGCAAGCATGCGCTTCCTGGACATCGCAGCCCATAAATAAGTCCTATTCTGGACAGTAGTCCGACGACCTCTTTCAAACACCTATCTGTGCCCCTACGATTAGTTCCGCAATCCGACCGGATCGGGTCTGCAAACAGCGACGCGACACGAAGCGGCCCAGAGCGGCCTCCTAAGCTTCAGTGCAGAGAGCACCCACAAATTCTACATGAACGTCGTCTGTGGAGAGCCGAACGAAACGCACAGATAGTCCCTAGTATGAATTTTCAACAAGTAGGCCTAGCCAGGCCACCCACCATATTATCATTTACTAAAATAGTGCGGCAGCTGATTTCAATCTGATAATCTCCAAAACTAGCTAGCCTGTTAGACAAGCAGTCCTATGCTCATATTTCAACTAATTTTTCAAAGCATCAATGTTCAACTACAGAATCAATTCAACCAAATTAATCACCGATGCACATAGGTCAACTTGACAAATTAAACAAAACAATAACGTAAGGGACAGCCCTACTTCTTCATAAAGCAAAATGATTAAACACTATCATAAAACATATACATAATTTTTCAAATAGCGCGACATTCAATTCAAATGAATTCAAACTTTCTTTTCAGCAACCAGGCGCAACATTCAAACACAATGATTAAATATATTTACAAAACACATGCAGTAGCATTTAAAGGAGTAGATTAAATTCAATTCTTTTAATCGCAACCGCTACAAACAGGAAAATTTCGCGGAAAGCCCAAAGCATTTTTTAATTTTAATTCAAAGTATTTTTTAACTAAATGCTCGACCAAACCAAATCTAATACCCCTTGACAGCGTGATTCAACGCTCCAGGGGGGCCCTAATCTTCCCACCACCAAGTGGAGGCCAGACGGCGTGAACACGAGAACAATAGAGCGCAACCGCTAACAGTCGCCACTCGGGTTGTACGCCTTCACTGAGGACGTCGGCAACAGAACATTTTGACAAGTGAACTGTTGACGGCTTAAGGCTCAGTGGAGGCTGCCGTGGTGGGAGCTAAGGCGGCAGCTAGCCAGGGCCGCCTCCATCAAATGGGGAACAGTGGTACACCAGTCGCGGCCACTCAGCTAACGGGAGTGAGAAGGGTCCAGCGGACCGATGAGTGGCCGTGAAGTTCCTCCCCACACGCTGAGGGGGGGTGATGACACCCCCGCCCCTGGGGAAATTACCCCCCGACGGGTCGGGGGGTAATTTCCCTTTTCGAACCTAGGGGCCTGGTGGCTGGCAGGCGGGCGCCGAGAGTCGCCCGGCAGAGGGCGTGGCTGAGCGCCCCCGCCCGTGGGGGTCGAGGGCCTGGCAGAGCCCCGAGAGGAGACGCCGTTCGCACCCAGGCACAAAACGGCATGGTGATTGCCCTGGCAATGCAGACAGGGCCGCCGATGCGAACAGTCTCGCTGGAGGTATCCTCCCAAACATGAGCAGCACCAGCGGCGCTCCTTGGCGATAGTTCGCCTCGCCGGAACCGGCTTGCCTAAAAATTTCGGGCACGACGTTACCTGGTGATCAGATGCTCGACAATAGGAGCAGGGGGGGGGGGTTGACGACGACTTGCCTGGCGGATTCAGCCTCTCACTGGGCACGGCTCGTAAGTCGTCAACGGTGCCCGCCGCGTTCTCGATCTGCCGGCACTGCTCCTCCAAAAACCGCAGCAGATATGTACGCAATTATTTTTTATCTGCCTAGTTAACACAGAACAATATTTTATAGGAGGGGCCAAACGAGCATGCGGCTCACCTGATGGTAAGTGACTACCGCCGCCCATGAACAACCGCAACACCAGGGGAATTGCAGATGCGTTGCTGGCCTTTTAAAAAGGAGTAGGCTCTTTTCTTGAAGGTCCCTAAGTCGTATTGATCGTGGACCACCAATCATCCAGATGGTGTGGATGGTATCGGGAGTTCTGCCGCGATGTGCGTTCGTGAAATTTGGCGGCTGGGATTAAAAATTATTCATTCAATAGATATTAAAATGTTCAATTTAATCGAGAGTCGATTATATTGCGTTCGTTTTAAATCAAATCGAATATCTCTTTTGTTCTTTTAAGTAAATAGTTTGGAGTTTGAACTGTCAGTCAAGTTTCAAAATGAGAAGTCCTCTATTCGAAGATAACGTTCAGAAATGAGAATTTCACTAGTGTATGTATTCTTTATGGTAATCGATTTATTGTCATAGAAAATACACGAGAATCGATTTTCTAACTTATTTCTTATTTTATTGTTTTTTCGAATTCTATATTGTAAAAAGAGCTACTTTTTTGTATTTTACTTTAGAAAAATATGGCCAATTTTTTAAAGTATAAACAAAGTAACTTCAGACCCAAAAATCCCATTCTCCTTTGCTTTTATTTACACAATATTTTGTTACTATGGAATATTTTGAAATGTTTAGCGACGTCTAGTGGATCTAGTGGATTTTTAATCTGTGGTCTGGAGACTTTCTCTTTTCTGAAACGGCAACACTGAGCCGGCGCTTGCCCGCAGGCGTGCTCGTCGCGGCCGGTGCTGCGCACGCACGTGCGCGTCACGCACCGCAACGTGCGCGCGCGCCCCAACCACGTGTGCGACGTCTGCGGGAAGGCCTACACCGTGAGTACTGCGAGCTGTTCATACTTGTGCTCACTTGTAGCTCCCGATGTCACATCTGCAGCTGGATCTAGCAGTGCGATGAGTTCACTGTACGTGCTGCACCGCAACGTGCGCGCGCGCCCCAACCACGTGTGCGACGTCTGCGGGAAGGCCTACACCGTGAGTACTGCGAGCTGTTCATACTTGTGCTCACTTGTAGCTCCCGATGTCACATCTGCAGCTGGATCTAGCAGTGCGATGAGTTCACTGTACGTGCTGCACCGCAACGTGCGCGCGCGCCCCAACCACGTGTGCGACGTCTGCGGGAAGGCCTACACCGTGAGTACTGCGAGCTGTTCATACTTGTGCTCACTTGTAGCTCCCGATGTCACATCTGCAGCTGGATCTAGCAGTGCGATGAGTTCACTGTACGTGCTGCACCGCAACGTGCGCGCGCGCCCCAACCACGTGTGCGACGTCTGCGGGAAGGCCTACACCGTGAGTACTGCGAGCTGTTCATACTTGTGCTCACTTGTAGCTCCCGATGTCACATCTGCAGCTGGATCTAGCAGTGCGATGAGTTCACTGTACGTGCTGCACCGCAACGTGCGCGCGCGCCCCAACCACGTGTGCGACGTCTGCGGGAAGGCCTACACCGTGAGTACTGCGAGCTGTTCATACTTGTGCTCACTTGTAGCTCCCGATGTCACATCTGCAGCTGGATCTAGCAGTGCGATGAGTTCACTGTACGTGCTGCACCGCAACGTGCGCGCGCGCCCCAACCACGTGTGCGACGTCTGCGGGAAGGCCTACACCGTGAGTACTGCGAGCTGTTCATACTTGTGCTCACTTGTAGCTCCCGATGTCACATCTGCAGCTGGATCTAGCAGTGCGATGAGTTCACTGTACGTGCTGCACCGCAACGTGCGCGCGCGCCCCAACCACGTGTGCGACGTCTGCGGGAAGGCCTACACCGTGAGTACTGCGAGCTGTTCATACTTGTGCTCACTTGTAGCTCCCGATGTCACATCTGCAGCTGGATCTAGCAGTGCGATGAGTTCACTGTACGTGCTGCACCGCAACGTGCGCGCGCGCCCCAACCACGTGTGCGACGTCTGCGGGAAGGCCTACACCGTGAGTACTGCGAGCTGTTCATACTTGTGCTCACTTGTAGCTCCCGATGTCACATCTGCAGCTGGATCTAGCAGTGCGATGAGTTCACTGTACGTGCTGCACCGCAACGTGCGCGCGCGCCCCAACCACGTGTGCGACGTCTGCGGGAAGGCCTACACCGTGAGTACTGCGAGCTGTTCATACTTGTGCTCACTTGTAGCTCCCGATGTCACATCTGCAGCTGGATCTAGCAGTGCGATGAGTTCACTGTACGTGCTGCACCGCAACGTGCGCGCGCGCCCCAACCACGTGTGCGACGTCTGCGGGAAGGCCTACACCGTGAGTACTGCGAGCTGTTCATACTTGTGCTCACTTGTAGCTCCCGATGTCACATCTGCAGCTGGATCTAGCAGTGCGATGAGTTCACTGTACGTGCTGCACCGCAACGTGCGCGCGCGCCCCAACCACGTGTGCGACGTCTGCGGGAAGGCCTACACCGTGAGTACTGCGAGCTGTTCATACTTGTGCTCACTTGTAGCTCCCGATGTCACATCTGCAGCTGGATCTAGCAGTGCGATGAGTTCACTGTACGTGCTGCACCGCAACGTGCGCGCGCGCCCCAACCACGTGTGCGACGTCTGCGGGAAGGCCTACACCGTGAGTACTGCGAGCTGTTCATACTTGTGCTCACTTGTAGCTCCCGATGTCACATCTGCAGCTGGATCTAGCAGTGCGATGAGTTCACTGTACGTGCTGCACCGCAACGTGCGCGCGCGCCCCAACCACGTGTGCGACGTCTGCGGGAAGGCCTACACCGTGAGTACTGCGAGCTGTTCATACTTGTGCTCACTTGTAGCTCCCGATGTCACATCTGCAGCTGGATCTAGCAGTGCGATGAGTTCACTGTACGTGCTGCACCGCAACGTGCGCGCGCGCCCCAACCACGTGTGCGACGTCTGCGGGAAGGCCTACACCGTGAGTACTGCGAGCTGTTCATACTTGTGCTCACTTGTAGCTCCCGATGTCACATCTGCAGCTGGATCTAGCAGTGCGATGAGTTCACTGTACGTGCTGCACCGCAACGTGCGCGCGCGCCCCAACCACGTGTGCGACGTCTGCGGGAAGGCCTACACCGTGAGTACTGCGAGCTGTTCATACTTGTGCTCACTTGTAGCTCCCGATGTCACATCTGCAGCTGGATCTAGCAGTGCGATGAGTTCACTGTACGTGCTGCACCGCAACGTGCGCGCGCGCCCCAACCACGTGTGCGACGTCTGCGGGAAGGCCTACACCGTGAGTACTGCGAGCTGTTCATACTTGTGCTCACTTGTAGCTCCCGATGTCACATCTGCAGCTGGATCTAGCAGTGCGATGAGTTCACTGTACGTGCTGCACCGCAACGTGCGCGCGCGCCCCAACCACGTGTGCGACGTCTGCGGGAAGGCCTACACCGTGAGTACTGCGAGCTGTTCATACTTGTGCTCACTTGTAGCTCCCGATGTCACATCTGCAGCTGGATCTAGCAGTGCGATGAGTTCACTGTACGTGCTGCACCGCAACGTGCGCGCGCGCCCCAACCACGTGTGCGACGTCTGCGGGAAGGCCTACACCGTGAGTACTGCGAGCTGTTCATACTTGTGCTCACTTGTAGCTCCCGATGTCACATCTGCAGCTGGATCTAGCAGTGCGATGAGTTCACTGTACGTGCTGCACCGCAACGTGCGCGCGCGCCCCAACCACGTGTGCGACGTCTGCGGGAAGGCCTACACCGTGAGTACTGCGAGCTGTTCATACTTGTGCTCACTTGTAGCTCCCGATGTCACATCTGCAGCTGGATCTAGCAGTGCGATGAGTTCACTGTACGTGCTGCACCGCAACGTGCGCGCGCGCCCCAACCACGTGTGCGACGTCTGCGGGAAGGCCTACACCGTGAGTACTGCGAGCTGTTCATACTTGTGCTCACTTGTAGCTCCCGATGTCACATCTGCAGCTGGATCTAGCAGTGCGATGAGTTCACTGTACGTGCTGCACCGCAACGTGCGCGCGCGCCCCAACCACGTGTGCGACGTCTGCGGGAAGGCCTACACCGTGAGTACTGCGAGCTGTTCATACTTGTGCTCACTTGTAGCTCCCGATGTCACATCTGCAGCTGGATCTAGCAGTGCGATGAGTTCACTGTACGTGCTGCACCGCAACGTGCGCGCGCGCCCCAACCACGTGTGCGACGTCTGCGGGAAGGCCTACACCGTGAGTACTGCGAGCTGTTCATACTTGTGCTCACTTGTAGCTCCCGATGTCACATCTGCAGCTGGATCTAGCAGTGCGATGAGTTCACTGTACGTGCTGCACCGCAACGTGCGCGCGCGCCCCAACCACGTGTGCGACGTCTGCGGGAAGGCCTACACCGTGAGTACTGCGAGCTGTTCATACTTGTGCTCACTTGTAGCTCCCGATGTCACATCTGCAGCTGGATCTAGCAGTGCGATGAGTTCACTGTACGTGCTGCACCGCAACGTGCGCGCGCGCCCCAACCACGTGTGCGACGTCTGCGGGAAGGCCTACACCGTGAGTACTGCGAGCTGTTCATACTTGTGCTCACTTGTAGCTCCCGATGTCACATCTGCAGCTGGATCTAGCAGTGCGATGAGTTCACTGTACGTGCTGCACCGCAACGTGCGCGCGCGCCCCAACCACGTGTGCGACGTCTGCGGGAAGGCCTACACCGTGAGTACTGCGAGCTGTTCATACTTGTGCTCACTTGTAGCTCCCGATGTCACATCTGCAGCTGGATCTAGCAGTGCGATGAGTTCACTGTACGTGCTGCACCGCAACGTGCGCGCGCGCCCCAACCACGTGTGCGACGTCTGCGGGAAGGCCTACACCGTGAGTACTGCGAGCTGTTCATACTTGTGCTCACTTGTAGCTCCCGATGTCACATCTGCAGCTGGATCTAGCAGTGCGATGAGTTCACTGTACGTGCTGCACCGCAACGTGCGCGCGCGCCCCAACCACGTGTGCGACGTCTGCGGGAAGGCCTACACCGTGAGTACTGCGAGCTGTTCATACTTGTGCTCACTTGTAGCTCCCGATGTCACATCTGCAGCTGGATCTAGCAGTGCGATGAGTTCACTGTACGTGCTGCACCGCAACGTGCGCGCGCGCCCCAACCACGTGTGCGACGTCTGCGGGAAGGCCTACACCGTGAGTACTGCGAGCTGTTCATACTTGTGCTCACTTGTAGCTCCCGATGTCACATCTGCAGCTGGATCTAGCAGTGCGATGAGTTCACTGTACGTGCTGCACCGCAACGTGCGCGCGCGCCCCAACCACGTGTGCGACGTCTGCGGGAAGGCCTACACCGTGAGTACTGCGAGCTGTTCATACTTGTGCTCACTTGTAGCTCCCGATGTCACATCTGCAGCTGGATCTAGCAGTGCGATGAGTTCACTGTACGTGCTGCACCGCAACGTGCGCGCGCGCCCCAACCACGTGTGCGACGTCTGCGGGAAGGCCTACACCGTGAGTACTGCGAGCTGTTCATACTTGTGCTCACTTGTAGCTCCCGATGTCACATCTGCAGCTGGATCTAGCAGTGCGATGAGTTCACTGTACGTGCTGCACCGCAACGTGCGCGCGCGCCCCAACCACGTGTGCGACGTCTGCGGGAAGGCCTACACCGTGAGTACTGCGAGCTGTTCATACTTGTGCTCACTTGTAGCTCCCGATGTCACATCTGCAGCTGGATCTAGCAGTGCGATGAGTTCACTGTACGTGCTGCACCGCAACGTGCGCGCGCGCCCCAACCACGTGTGCGACGTCTGCGGGAAGGCCTACACCGTGAGTACTGCGAGCTGTTCATACTTGTGCTCACTTGTAGCTCCCGATGTCACATCTGCAGCTGGATCTAGCAGTGCGATGAGTTCACTGTACGTGCTGCACCGCAACGTGCGCGCGCGCCCCAACCACGTGTGCGACGTCTGCGGGAAGGCCTACACCGTGAGTACTGCGAGCTGTTCATACTTGTGCTCACTTGTAGCTCCCGATGTCACATCTGCAGCTGGATCTAGCAGTGCGATGAGTTCACTGTACGTGCTGCACCGCAACGTGCGCGCGCGCCCCAACCACGTGTGCGACGTCTGCGGGAAGGCCTACACCGTGAGTACTGCGAGCTGTTCATACTTGTGCTCACTTGTAGCTCCCGATGTCACATCTGCAGCTGGATCTAGCAGTGCGATGAGTTCACTGTACGTGCTGCACCGCAACGTGCGCGCGCGCCCCAACCACGTGTGCGACGTCTGCGGGAAGGCCTACACCGTGAGTACTGCGAGCTGTTCATACTTGTGCTCACTTGTAGCTCCCGATGTCACATCTGCAGCTGGATCTAGCAGTGCGATGAGTTCACTGTACGTGCTGCACCGCAACGTGCGCGCGCGCCCCAACCACGTGTGCGACGTCTGCGGGAAGGCCTACACCGTGAGTACTGCGAGCTGTTCATACTTGTGCTCACTTGTAGCTCCCGATGTCACATCTGCAGCTGGATCTAGCAGTGCGATGAGTTCACTGTACGTGCTGCACCGCAACGTGCGCGCGCGCCCCAACCACGTGTGCGACGTCTGCGGGAAGGCCTACACCGTGAGTACTGCGAGCTGTTCATACTTGTGCTCACTTGTAGCTCCCGATGTCACATCTGCAGCTGGATCTAGCAGTGCGATGAGTTCACTGTACGTGCTGCACCGCAACGTGCGCGCGCGCCCCAACCACGTGTGCGACGTCTGCGGGAAGGCCTACACCGTGAGTACTGCGAGCTGTTCATACTTGTGCTCACTTGTAGCTCCCGATGTCACATCTGCAGCTGGATCTAGCAGTGCGATGAGTTCACTGTACGTGCTGCACCGCAACGTGCGCGCGCGCCCCAACCACGTGTGCGACGTCTGCGGGAAGGCCTACACCGTGAGTACTGCGAGCTGTTCATACTTGTGCTCACTTGTAGCTCCCGATGTCACATCTGCAGCTGGATCTAGCAGTGCGATGAGTTCACTGTACGTGCTGCACCGCAACGTGCGCGCGCGCCCCAACCACGTGTGCGACGTCTGCGGGAAGGCCTACACCGTGAGTACTGCGAGCTGTTCATACTTGTGCTCACTTGTAGCTCCCGATGTCACATCTGCAGCTGGATCTAGCAGTGCGATGAGTTCACTGTACGTGCTGCACCGCAACGTGCGCGCGCGCCCCAACCACGTGTGCGACGTCTGCGGGAAGGCCTACACCGTGAGTACTGCGAGCTGTTCATACTTGTGCTCACTTGTAGCTCCCGATGTCACATCTGCAGCTGGATCTAGCAGTGCGATGAGTTCACTGTACGTGCTGCACCGCAACGTGCGCGCGCGCCCCAACCACGTGTGCGACGTCTGCGGGAAGGCCTACACCGTGAGTACTGCGAGCTGTTCATACTTGTGCTCACTTGTAGCTCCCGATGTCACATCTGCAGCTGGATCTAGCAGTGCGATGAGTTCACTGTACGTGCTGCACCGCAACGTGCGCGCGCGCCCCAACCACGTGTGCGACGTCTGCGGGAAGGCCTACACCGTGAGTACTGCGAGCTGTTCATACTTGTGCTCACTTGTAGCTCCCGATGTCACATCTGCAGCTGGATCTAGCAGTGCGATGAGTTCACTGTACGTGCTGCACCGCAACGTGCGCGCGCGCCCCAACCACGTGTGCGACGTCTGCGGGAAGGCCTACACCGTGAGTACTGCGAGCTGTTCATACTTGTGCTCACTTGTAGCTCCCGATGTCACATCTGCAGCTGGATCTAGCAGTGCGATGAGTTCACTGTACGTGCTGCACCGCAACGTGCGCGCGCGCCCCAACCACGTGTGCGACGTCTGCGGGAAGGCCTACACCGTGAGTACTGCGAGCTGTTCATACTTGTGCTCACTTGTAGCTCCCGATGTCACAGTGCGATCTAGCAGTGCGATGTACGTTCAAACGTGGCAGTACCACCGAGCGACCGTAATCACATGTGATACACAAGTATTTTTATTCATGCGAGCTCTTACTCCTGAACTACCAACCACTCTCGGCACTGTTCTCGTGTAGAGTAAATGGTAACTGATTTTTATTACAGACTCATACGTTCACACACGCACACACATATTTCATTTTTGTTATTAACAGTTTTGTTACTGCTTAATAATTTATTATATACAATATACACGTTATCATTATCATTATAGCTCTTCACAAGTCCACTACTGAACATAGGCCTCCCCCAAGGTATGCTACAAAGCACGGTCCTGAGCCACCTGCATCCATCGACTTCCTGTATGTCTTACCAGGTCGTCACTCCATCTAGTGGGAGACGCCTTACACTTCGCCTGCCAGTACGAGGCTGCCACTCGAGAACCTTTATTCCCCATCGGTTGTCGGTTCTTTGAGCTATATGGCCGGACTATTGCCACTTCAGCATACTAATTCTTTGGGCTATGTCGGTTACTCTGGTTTTACTGGGGATATCCTCGTTTTTAAGTCTATCTCGGAGAGAAACGCCGAGCATTGCCCTTTCCATAGCTCGCTAAGCGAGTTTGAGCTTCCTCATACGGCCAGCAGTGAAGTACCACCTCTCAGATCTGTAGGTCATCACTGGCAACATGCACTGGTTGAACTATCTAGTTTTGAGATTCTGAGGTGTGTCTAACGAGAAGATATATCGTAATTTTTCGAATGCTGCCCAGCCGAGATTCGTTAATATACACGTACCACACCTTAAGTTAAGACATAAAATAATAATTAATAGTAGGCAATTGTATGGGAGAAGTCAGTGCCTCCTGAGAAACACAGTTTTGCTTTATCTTATAAATTAATTTCAACACATCATATGGTAATATTTTACGTCAAAAATAAACTAAATTCCATTATTTTTCTAATATTTTAGCGTGTTCTTTAATTTAACACGTGCACTACGCATATTTCTAGCAAATAAATGTATTTTCTTTCCTCCCTTCTACCTGGCGACGATGTCGACTGCTGCACTCCCGATGGGTCGATGGGTCCAGAGCAAGAAGAGCCTGGAGGGCCACCTGCGGGCACACTCCGGCGAGCGGCCGTTCGGCTGCGCGCGCTGCCCGGCCGCGTTCGGCTACGAGGCGGCGCTCTACAACCACAACCGCCTCGTGCACCTCAAGCCCAAGGTCACACCGTTCCCTTACCTATACAATATGTAACGTTCGGCTACGAGGCGGCGCTCTACAACCACAACCGCCTCGTGCACCTCAAGCCCAAGGTCACACCGTTCCCTTACCTATACAATATGTAACGTTCGGCTACGAGGCGGCGCTCTACAACCACAACCGCCTCGTGCACCTCAAGCCCAAGGTCACACCGTTCCCTTACCTATACAATATGTAACGTTCGGCTACGAGGCGGCGCTCTACAACCACAACCGCCTCGTGCACCTCAAGCCCAAGGTCACACCGTTCCCTTACCTATACAATATGTAACGTTCGGCTACGAGGCGGCGCTCTACAACCACAACCGCCTCGTGCACCTCAAGCCCAAGGTCACACCGTTCCCTTACCTATACAATATGTAACGTTCGGCTACGAGGCGGCGCTCTACAACCACAACCGCCTCGTGCACCTCAAGCCCAAGGTCACACCGTTCCCTTACCTATACAATATGTAACGTTCGGCTACGAGGCGGCGCTCTACAACCACAACCGCCTCGTGCACCTCAAGCCCAAGGTCACACCGTTCCCTTACCTATACAATATGTAACGTTCGGCTACGAGGCGGCGCTCTACAACCACAACCGCCTCGTGCACCTCAAGCCCAAGGTCACACCGTTCCCTTACCTATACAATATGTAACGTTCGGCTACGAGGCGGCGCTCTACAACCACAACCGCCTCGTGCACCTCAAGCCCAAGGTCACACCGTTCCCTTACCTATACAATATGTAACGTTCGGCTACGAGGCGGCGCTCTACAACCACAACCGCCTCGTGCACCTCAAGCCCAAGGTCACACCGTTCCCTTACCTATACAATATGTAACGTTCGGCTACGAGGCGGCGCTCTACAACCACAACCGCCTCGTGCACCTCAAGCCCAAGGTCACACCGTTCCCTTACCTATACAATATGTAACGTTCGGCTACGAGGCGGCCCTCTACAACCACAACCGCCTCGTGCACCTCAAGCCCAAGGTCACACCGTTCCCTTACCTATACAATATGTAACGTTCGGCTACGAGGCGGCGCTCTACAACCACAACCGCCTCGTGCACCTCAAGCCCAAGGTCACACCGTTCCCTTACCTATACAATATGTAACGTTCGGCTACGAGGCGGCGCTCTACAACCACAACCGCCTCGTGCACCTCAAGCCCAAGGTCACACCGTTCCCTTACCTATACAATATGTAACGTTCGGCTACGAGGCGGCGCTCTACAACCACAACCGCCTCGTGCACCTCAAGCCCAAGGTCACACCGTTCCCTTACCTATACAATATGTAACGTTCGGCTACGAGGCGGCGCTCTACAACCACAACCGCCTCGTGCACCTCAAGCCCAAGGTCACACCGTTCCCTTACCTATACAATATGTAACGTTCGGCTACGAGGCGGCGCTCTACAACCACAACCGCCTCGTGCACCTCAAGCCCAAGGTCACACCGTTCCCTTACCTATACAATATGTAACGTTCGGCTACGAGGCGGCGCTCTACAACCACAACCGCCTCGTGCACCTCAAGCCCAAGGTCACACCGTTCCCTTACCTATACAATATGTAACGTTCGGCTACGAGGCGGCGCTCTACAACCACAACCGCCTCGTGCACCTCAAGCCCAAGGTCACACCGTTCCCTTACCTATACAATATGTAACGTTCGGCTACGAGGCGGCGCTCTACAACCACAACCGCCTCGTGCACCTCAAGCCCAAGGTCACACCGTTCCCTTACCTATACAATATGTAACGTTCGGCTACGAGGCGGCGCTCTACAACCACAACCGCCTCGTGCACCTCAAGCCCAAGGTCACACCGTTCCCTTACCTATACAATATGTAACGTTCGGCTACGAGGCGGCGCTCTACAACCACAACCGCCTCGTGCACCTCAAGCCCAAGGTCACACCGTTCCCTTACCTATACAATATGTAACGTTCGGCTACGAGGCGGCGCTCTACAACCACAACCGCCTCGTGCACCTCAAGCCCAAGGTCACACCGTTCCCTTACCTATACAATATGTAACGTTCGGCTACGAGGCGGCGCTCTACAACCACAACCGCCTCGTGCACCTCAAGCCCAAGGTCACACCGTTCCCTTACCTATACAATATGTAACGTTCGGCTACGAGGCAGCGCTCTACAACCACAACCGCCTCGTGCACCTCAAGCCCAAGGTCACACCGTTCCCTTACCTATACAATATGTAACGTTCGGCTACGAGGCGGCGCTCTACAACCACAACCGCCTCGTGCACCTCAAGCCCAAGGTCACACCGTTCCCTTACCTATACAATATGTAACGTTCGGCTACGAGGCGGCGCTCTACAACCACAACCGCCTCGTGCACCTCAAGCCCAAGGTCACACCGTTCCCTTACCTATACAATATGTAACGTTCGGCTACGAGGCGGCGCTCTACAACCACAACCGCCTCGTGCACCTCAAGCCCAAGGTCACACCGTTCCCTTACCTATACAATATGTAACGTTCGGCTACGAGGCGGCGCTCTACAACCACAACCGCCTCGTGCACCTCAAGCCCAAGGTCACACCGTTCCCTTACCTATACAATAAGTAACGTTCGGCTACGAGGTGGCGCTCTACAACCACAACCGCCTCGTGCACCTCAAGCCCAAGGTCACACCGTTCCCTTACCTATACAATATGTAACGTTCGGCTACGAGGCGGCGCTCTACAACCACAACCGCCTCGTGCACCTCAAGCCCAAGGTCACACCGTTCCCTTACCTATACAATATGTAACGTTCGGCTACGAGGCGGCGCTCTACAACCACAACCGCCTCGTGCACCTCAAGCCCAAGGTCACACCGTTCCCTTACCTATACAATATGTAACGTTCGGCTACGAGGCGGCGCTCTACAACCACAACCGCCTCGTGCACCTCAAGCCTAAGGTCACACCGTTCCCTTACCTATACAATATGTAACGTTCGGCTACGAGGCGGCGCTCTACAACCACAACCGCCTCGTGCACCTCAAGCCTAAGGTCACACCGTTCCCTTACCTATACAATATGTAACGTTCGGCTACGAGGCGGCGCTCTACAACCACAACCGCCTCGTGCACCTCAAGCCTAAGGTCACACCGTTCCCTTACCTATACAATATGTAACGTTCGGCTACGAGGCGGCGCTCTACAACCACAACCGCCTCGTGCACCTCAAGCCTAAGGTCACACCGTTCCCTTACCTATACAATATGTAACGTTCGGCTACGAGGCGGCGCTCTACAACCACAACCGCCTCTTGCAGCTCAAGCCTAAGGTCACACCGTTCCCTTACCTATACAATATGTAACGTTCGGCTACGAGGCGGCGCTCTACAACCACAACCGCCTCGTGCACCTCAAGCCTAAGGTCACACCGTTCCCTTACCTATACAATATGTAACGTTCGGCTACGAGGCGGCGCTCTACAACCACAACCGCCTCGTGCACCTCAAGCCTAAGGTCACACCGTTCCCTTACCTATACAATATGTAACGTTCGGCTACGAGGCGGCGCTCTACAACCACAACCGCCTCGTGCACCTCAAGCCTAAGGTCACACCGTTCCCTTACCTATACAATATGTAACGTTCGGCTACGAGGCGGCGCTCTACAACCACAACCGCCTCGTGCACCTCAAGCCTAAGGTCACACCGTTCCCTTACCTATACAATATGTAACGTTCGGCTACGAGGCGGCGCTCTACAACCACAACCGCCTCGTGCACCTCAAGCCTAAGGTCACACCGTTCCCTTACCTATACAATATGTAACGTTCGGCTACGAGGCGGCGCTCTACAACCACAACCGCCTTGTGCACCTCAAGCCTAAGGTCACACCGTTCCCTTACCTATACAATATGTAACGTTCGGCTACGAGGCGGCGCTCTACAACCACAACCGCCTCGTGCACCTCAAGCCTAAGGTCACACCGTTCCCTTACCTATACAATATGTAACGTTCGGCTACGAGGCGGCGCTCTACAACCACAACCGCCTCGTGCACCTCAAGCCTAAGGTCACACCGTTCCCTTACCTATACAATATGTAACGTTCGGCTACGAGGCGGCGCTCTACAACCACAACCGCCTCGTGCACCTCAAGCCTAAGGTCACACCGTTCCCTTACCTATACAATATGTAACGTTCGGCTACGAGGCGGCGCTCTACAAGCACAACCGCCTCGTGCACCTCAAGCCTAAGGTCACACCGTTCCCTTACCTATACAATATGTAACGTTCGGCTACGAGGCGGCGCTCTACAACCACAACCGCCTCGTGCACCTCAAGCCTAAGGTCACACCGTTCCCTTACCTATACAATATGTAACGTTCGGCTACGAGGCGGCGCTCTACAACCACAACCGCCTCGTGCACCTCAAGCCTTAGGTCACACCGTTCCCTTACCTATACAATATGTAACGTTCGGCTACGAGGCGGCGCTCTACAACCACAACCGCCTCGTGCACCTCAAGCCTAAGGTCACACCGTTCCCTTACCTATACAATATGTAACGTTCGGCTACGAGGCGGCGCTCTACAACCACAACCGCCTCGTGCACCTCAAGCCTAAGGTCACACCGTTCCCTTACCTATACAATATGTAACGTTCGGCTACGAGGCGGCGCTCTACAACCACAACCGCCTCGTGCACCTCAAGCCTAAGGTCACACCGTTCCCTTACCTATACAATATGTAATGTTCGGCTACGAGGCGGCGCTCTACAACCACAACCGCCTTGTGCACCTCAAGCCTAAGGTCACACCGTTCCCTTACCTATACAATATGTAACGTTCGGCTACGAGGCGGCGCTCTACAACCACAACCGCCTCGTGCACCTCAAGCCTAAGGTCACACCGTTCCCTTACCTATACAATATGTAACGTTCGGCTACGAGGCGGCGCTCTACAACCACAACCGCCTCGTGCACCTCAAGCCTAAGGTCACACCGTTCCCTTACCTATACAATATGTAACGTTCGGCTACGAGGCGGCGCTCTACAACCACAACCGCCTCGTGCACCTCAAGCCTAAGGTCACACCGTTCCCTTACCTATACAATATGTAACGTTCGGCTACGAGGCGGCGCTCTACAACCACAACCGCCTCGTGCACCTCAAGCCTAAGGTCACACCGTTCCCTTACCTATACAATATGTAACAAATCCCTGTGCTTCCCGTTAAGTACGTCATCAGCATCATTATTCAAACGTATAGAAATAACTTTTAAAAAACTCGACCATATTTTTAAATTTTTTACACTACACTTACACTAGCCGACACTAAAGAGTGATCGCTATTTAAATTAGTTATTACAATAATACGTGAATCGCACTCGTAAATATATATTGGTTGTTGCCTTTGAATTTTCTCATTTAAACTACACCTCTTTCCTGCGTTGGTTCCAAATCGTATTTTTTTTTTCTTTATAATACGCAGAACAATTAGCGCTATTACCCAAATCCAACGGTGGCTTGTGATTGGACGAAATGTATGAGCGTTTTCAATGGCGCTCTGCTATTGGTTGAATCTCCGCCGCAGAAACAAAATCCCAAAATGTTTTTAATGGCGCCAATTTTTTTTAATATTTAAGATAACGAAACACCCACATACAGCCTACTTTACAGAAAGTAGGCCACATATGCGGACTATTTACTTATTGAAACTTCAACGCAATACATTTAATTCGATCGATGAGTTTTCTACAGAAGTTGGTTACAAGTGGGCAGTTTGTTAATTTGTTTTTCATTTTAGTTTTATTAAAAAAAAAATTAAAAGTATTTATTAATGTGTCCACATTACAGATCGGACGAGGGCGCAACGCAACAAGCGACGCCGCTGCAGGAGCAGTACCAGCAGTGGAGCCCAGCGTCCCACGGGACCCAGTCGAGACCACCGTCCCACAGGACTGGCGCTCCGTAGAGTTATCAATTCAACCAGAGGAAGTTTCTTCGCGGCAGTCCGTTACAGACACCATGTCACTTAAATGAATTAGGAAAAAAGAATTTATAATAAAATCGATATTTTTAATACAGTCTGTCGTTTTATTATCATCACGCCGATGCCCCTTAATGAGCCAATCTATGGAGTTTTAGGTCTATTTTCAACAGTAGACTGAATGGTAATTTATCTGTAGTGAAGACACTCAACAATAAATAATAAATACAATCAATAAAAAAAAAACAAAGATACGACTTGACCTCTTGAGACAGAGGCGGATTAAATGTCGACTGCGCCCTAGGCTAGCCTAGCTATTATTAATTGACTGCCTCGTTGGTTTATTGGTTGTAGTAGTGCGACTGCTGTTCGTGAGGTCTCGGGTCGGGCAAAAAAAAATCAGTTATTGAGTTTTTCCATCGAGAAATTCTCAGTAGCTACCTGGAGTCAGGAAGTTGGCAGTGTCTCACCACCTTGCCTCGGAAAGCACGTAAAGCCGTTGGTCTTGCGCCTGATCTCTCTCCGGTCGTGTCGGTTTACCGTCCCATCGGACTATACGAGTGAGGGAATAGAAAGTGTACCTGTGCTTGCGCATATACTTGTACACTATAATCCAGTCCTGCGCCGATGGCTAGTCTCTGCTGAGACTGGCCACCGTGGCCGAAATTCGATCTGGAGGACATTATTATTGTAAATTAAATATACTCATTTTTCAAATAAACTGTTATAATTTAAGGTCTCATCATAACTAACATAACGAGCACTATCTTGGCACACCTAGTTCTACTCGTCGAGGAGTTCTTGCAGATATCGAAGTACACCTTCAGGTCTCCATAAAGTCCAAGATGTATAAGAAACAAAATATTGTAATAAAAATCTGTGATTACAAAAATAATAATAATAATTTACCTTGGTCATGTAGGTATCAAATTTAGTTTTTGGAATATTTTGTATTTCTAAAGCGATCGATATTTTTCAGCACGAACCGCTGTAAACAAACGACCACTCACGACGATGGCTAAGCCCGGAGTAAAAAGTACTCTGTCATCTGTAGCCGGGAGTGAGGCAAAGCGTATTTAGTAAAATAAATTAATATAAGGCTGCTCAAAACACCGAAAATTTCGCTATATCTCAACTGAAAAAAAAATTATAACTAAACAAAACTGACATTTACATTCCATGGCTTCCCACATTATAGATGAAGAGTTTTAAAAATAGATTGAGTTGAACAATTGATACTTTTAAAAGTTATCGTGTTTACGTCTCCATGCGGACTTGATAAATTTATACCTTATGGCACTAAAACCGCTTTTTATGTAAAAATAGCATATGATTCATTTTTAAAAAATAATAATAACTTCAACAATCATTTACCTTTCTGACAGTGTGCTTTTTATATCATTTATATGTTCAATATGATTATTAGATACGATTTCATGCGACAAAACGTTGGAATCTTGATTTTTCGGCGCTAGTAGAACATACCTACGCGCTGTGCATTTAAGGTGTATTTAAGGCATGCAATAATAAAAACTTTATACGTGTTTTTTTTTATTTTATATAAAAAAAATTATAAAACTAATCAACAGTATATGTACATGATATTATGTAGCTACTGCAAGTTTCTCGTCAGGGACTTGTATTTTTTTATTTGTAATGGCAAGTCCATAACTGTTATCCTTTTGTCAGTGTCAAGTAAATTTATTTCAATACTTTTCAATAATATATTAATGCGTCACGTCACATTGTGAACTTTTGGGAGATTTTGAAGGCAGTTTGAGCATCACTATGCGCAGTCAATTCATAAACAAAATCACACCACTTTACGTATAAAAATCTACTACCATTATATTAAAAGCAATATAGTATTAATATAGTATTATTTGCTGATGATACATCCTTGATTTTTAAACTTAAACGTCAATCATTTAAATGTGACGAAGTGAATAATGCTATATCAAAATTAGTGCATTGGTTTAACGTTAATAATCTACATTTAAACGGAAATAAAACTAAATGTATTAAATTTACAACAACAAATGTTAAAAATCTGAGTACCAATGTGTTTTTAAATGGGGAAGAACTGAGCCCTGTTGAATCCACTGTTTTTCTTGGCATCACTCTCGACGCAAAGCTTCAGTTGGGCCCCCATATATCCAAACTAGCAGACAGACTCAGTTCTGCAGCCTATGCTGTAAAAAGGATTAGAGGTCTCACTAGTGTCGAGACAGCTAGATTAGTTTATTTCAGTTATTTCCATAGCATAATGTCTTATGGGATTTTGCTATGGGGAAATGTGGCTGATTCAGAAACTATTTTTGTTTTACAGAAGAGGGCCATTAGAGCTATTTACAACCTAAAACCGAGAGAGTCTCTTAGAGATAAATTTAAAGAAATAAATATATTAACTTTGGCCTCTCAGTATATTTACGAAAATTTAATGTATGTTCACAAAAACAAAGGTAGTTTTAGTAAAAAAGTGATATACATTCTGTAAAACTAGGAACAAACACAAGCTAGTGATACCAGTTTCTCGACTCCACAGAGTCAATAATTCATTCTTGGGGCAATGTACCTATACGCTATTACAACAAGGTCCCGGAAAGTGTACAGGCTCTCTCTATTAGCCTGGGAATGAGGTGATCGCTTCCAAGCTGTTTCTAAAATAAATTTTGTACTTATATAGTTTGTACAACCATTAAAGTAAAATTTGCTTTAAAAAAAAGTCCCGCTGGGTTTCTTGCTAGTTCTTCCCAGGACAGAGGTTTTTTTTTCGAACCAGTGGTAAAGTAAAAAATTACTTTCAATATGAATTACACATGTGATCTATATTGAATAAAAAATTATTCTATTCTATTCTATTCATGCGAGGCCTGTATACGTAGGCATTAATCGTACGAGTAGCGTCTTTATCCGTAATCGATTCGCGTATACGCGTAATAAGTTTCGACTTCGCTTTTTTTGTAACTAATTATTTCTGAATGGAGACTTTGGTTATTTTATTAAAGTACATTCGTATTATGATTACGAATATCACAATCGGGGTAAACTGTTACGTGATATAATTTTTATTACTTTCATGTTATTATTTCATTAGCAATTTAGACAATACCAGTATAATACCGGAGAACCTTTTAACTGATAATAAAGCATTCCATTTCAGTTCTTAGAAACAAAAACGCGACTGCATTTTAATTAGTAATCAATAATTTTTCATAATTATAATATTAAATTTTATATTTCAAATGTTGTTTTACCATAGTAATAAGTCTTTTATTTTAATAACGACAATAATTTTGGACTCAATTACCTTGAATCCAGGCCAGAACCAAAAACAATTATAATTGACATTGACAATTAACATATCTAAACATTGATTGCCAAATGCAAATGCCAATTGCCAAACTATGAAAAGATAATAAACATAAAAAATTTGCCAAAATAGGAAAAAAAAAACATAAAAAATAACCTAAAAGTATTTACCTAACTATATGTTATAATGAGGCTAATTAACCTTTTAAAAAATCTTCGAATAAGTTACACTCAAGCAATACGAAATTACTCTGATAATTATACGCCGAAACCGTTACGAAGCTTAAAAGCAAAGTCCAACAGAAATTACGTTCAGTATTATGTAGATTCTTGTAGAATAAGGGCTATTGGAGGAAATGGGGGAGATGGCTGCATTTCCTTCTTGAGTGCTTGGTCTAAGGAACATGCTGGGCCTGACGGTGGAGACGGTGGGCACGGAGGTCATGTTATATTTCAGGTAAGTTTTGAAGTGACGATATATGCAGTACAATTAGATTACCTATTGCTTATGATATTTAACAAGCAACTTATTATTGGCTTCTTTACAATGTTATCCTTATCCCGAGTCGCTTAGAGAAAATTAAAGAAATAAATATACACTTTGGCCTCTCAGTATATTTACGAAAATTGAATGTATGTTCACAAAAACAAAGATAGTTTTAGTAAAAAAAGTGATATACACTCTGTAAACACAAGTTACAAACACAAGCTAGTGATACTGGTCACTCGACTCCACAAAGTTAGTAATTCATTCTTGGGGCAATGTATACGGTATTGCAACAATGTCCCAGAAAATATAGAAGGTATATCTATTACGAAGTTTAAATATTTAATTAAACAAAATCTGTATAAAAAGGGTTATTATAATATAAATGAATACATATATAATAACCCCTGGGAATGCGGTGGTTGCTTCCAAGCTGTTTCTAAAATAAATTTTGTAAATAGTTTGTAATCATTTATATTGTAAAATTTGTTTAAAAAAAAGTCCCGCTAGGTTTCTCGCTGGTTCTGCCCAGGACAGAGGATTTTTTCGAACCAGTGGTAAAGTAAAAAAATGACTTACAATAAGAATTACCTGTAATCAATAATAAATAAAAATTATTCTATTCTATTCTATCTGCCATGGAAATCAGCACTTAAAATTTCGACTAACAAGTGTTTCTCAGTTGAGCCAATCCATTCTGTTTATAACCTAAGAGAATGCAGAGTATTATTAGATTTTAGATTGGCAGTTCTTAACAATTTAGTGATGAATGAACTTTTAATTAATTTTTTTCTTGCAAAAGACCACCATCTTTATGACATTAATGACAGTAAGATTTATTTTTAAGTTGTTATTTAAATTATAGACATATCACTGAGTTTATAATCATAAATAATAATAAAAAACCCACCATCTACCTATTTATGTAATATAATAATTTACTTTTACAGGCATCACACACGGTCAAGAGCTTGAACCACTGTAAATCAGTGATCCAAGCAAAACATGGAGATCGTGGAGACAATAAGGACTGCACTGGAAAGAATGCCCAGCATGTTATTGTTCCAGTGCCTCTTGGTATACCTATGCATTTTTTAAATTTATTTATAGAATTTGATGACCCTATAACTTTGTCATTAGAGTAGACAATTTAAAGGCTGTCCAGCGCAGATGGTTTAGTTTGCATTAAAACTGGTTACCGTGGCAAAAATTTGAGCAGGAGGTTATTGATACTATGACATAAATCGCACTAGGACCAATTCCACCTATGGTTTTATAATTCTGATGGTGTTAGTAGATAATATAGAGATAAAGGATTTATTCAAGGTTTTCACTATGCAGGTACCATTGTAAAAGACTCTTCTGGGCGTGTCATTGGTGACCTCTCGGCTGACGGGACGATGTTCATAGCGGCGCGGGGTGGTGCAGGGGGGAGGGGAAACAAATTCTTTCTCACAGACACGCAACAGGTAAGGGGTTAGGGAATGTAAACTACAGCTAATGTGGCTTGTTTCTATAATTATAAAGCTTAGCCGCCACCAGAAGTACCCCTGAGATGAGAGGCTTCAGTCTCTACGAGTGCAGCGTCCCACACCCAGCATGGGCTGGGAACAAAACATTTATCCCACGATTATATCCACTGACAAGTGATAAAATTATCTTGTCCTTATGCCAAAGCACGGCATCGGGGAGAAGTATATCCCCCCGTCCGTAGCATGGAGCCAAATGACAGATTTGCTTTTTTGATATTTGAAAGGGAAAATTTTATCCTAGTTCATTGGACGTGGGTTTAAGTTTATATTCATACAATAAATCTTTCTATCCATTTTATCGGCTGCATAGGGGGGGGGGGGCTTTGCCATAGTTGCCAAGCTTGGCGGAGGGGTTTGCAACAGTTTTTTTTTTGTTATTTCAGTTGTTATCAGGCAGATGCTGCCACCCATCTGGTTTGTTTCCCTCTGTCGCCTCTTACGACACCCACGGGACGATATGGGGTAGTGGATATTCTTACACTGCCATTATACGCTCACTAAATATTCCACAAGGGTCTGTAACCTCCCAGAATATTTCTAGAGACAAGAGCTCTTCGGATGGCATCGTTCAGAGGTTCACAGACCGACAGACAGGACAACCTACCAGCACTTACGAGTTGTTTCATCTTAAATCGTTTGAGCATAGCATAGCTTTTCATAAAAACTGTATTTTTAATGACTACCAACCACTACACTAACGAGGTTAAAAGTCGACTGACTTATACTATATTGTACAAGTCTCTGCCTCGTTGATTACTGACCATAAGGTTCTGGGTTCAAATTCCGAAATTCTCCATAGCAGCCGGGAGTCAGGAAGTTGGCGGTGTTTCAACCTTCTGGCTCAGAAATACGAAAAGCCGGTGGTCCTGCGCTGATCTCTTTCTATTCGCTTCGGATTGCCGTCCCATCTGACTATAAGAGTGAGGGAATAGAGAATGAACATTTGCATATACTTGAAAAACTACCAATCCTTCTGGGACAGTCGGGTAAAAGGTACAATATTGTACTTCAAAAAGGAGACGGTACTCAATTCGACTGTATGTTTTTTTTATGTGTGTTACGTCATAACTTTTTCTAGGTTAAGCGATTTCGAACATTTTTATTAATTAAAGCAGGCAAAGATATAAGACCATACAGCCAAGTCTGATTTATATTTTCTACCGATTTCAAAAAGGAGACTGTACTCAATTCAACTGTATGTTTTCTTTTTTTATTTGAAAGCTGGTGCTTCTCATGTGGTCCCATATAAAATTTATCAAGGTCTGACCAATACCAAATGACGGCTCCGTGGCGCAGTGGCTTAGCAATGAATTGTTACCTGGGGGCCGCGGGTTCGAATCCTGCACGGAACAAGTACTTGTATGGCCTACAAATAATTGTTCCGGGTCTGGATGTTTGTCCTCGTGCAATTTATGTTTGTAAACTGCCTTCACGACACAGGAGAAAATCCTGGTGGGGGGTAACGTTTTTAAAAAAAAAAGGAAGAATAGTTTTTGAGTTATCCTTAATAATTTAAATTGAAGACGGTTGTACAAATTTTTTAATTTTATCACTTGTCTTTATACGGTTTATTGCAGGCCCCAGATATAGCGGAGTATGGAGCAATAGGCGAGACCCAAGTGTACACGCTGGAGGTGCGATCGATGGCCCACGTGGGACTCGTGGGCTTTCCCAACGCTGGGAAGAGCACGCTCTTGCGAGCCTTGACCAGAGCCAGGCCCACTGTTGCACCGTACCCGTTCACAACACTTCGTCCACACATTGGTAAGTATACAGATCACAATATACAGATTTACACAATAATACTGGTTTAAAACCTAATTTAAAACGTAACAAAACATGCTCGAAGAGGGTAAGGTCAAGAGTACTCGGATTACCTAGACATGGATGTATGAAGAAGATAATGAATCTGAAAGAAGCGAAAGAGATATGTAAGGATCGTGACACTTGGCGATCTGTTCTCTCTGGCTACCCCGTCAGGGATTGTGCGTGAAGATAAGAAGAACAAAACATTTGTAAAATTACTTCTTTTACGCAAGATCGAATCGTAACAGGAAAGTGTTAAAATTAAAAATTTTGTCCAACCGCCTTAAATATAATTTATTGTTGATTTTTACAGAACCGTTCGACCGATTTCGTAAAAATTTAAATTTGACCACCTCGGAACTATACCCTTTGAAACAAAAAACGGAATTTTCAAATTGGTCCAGGCGTCTTCGAGTAATTGGTGAACATACGTAAAAAAAAAAGATTGCGACAAATTGTAAACCTACTCCTTTTTTGAAGTCGATTGAAAAAAGTAATTTTAAAATAGAACGTAAAAAAAATTATTCTTACTTTTCGACGAGATCTATGCGCCGTGTAAGACAGTTCTTGTCGTGCCCGCCAAGGAACCATGACTAATGTTTTTTTTTTTATAATTCCAGGTATGGTGCCATACGATGACTATGAACAAGTTGCTATTGCGGATCTGCCTGGACTTATTCCCGGCTCGCACAAGAACTATGGACTTGGTGAGTTGATCTTTATCATAAAGTGTGGTGGTGTTTACCATGCAGTGACGGTGTAACTATATCCAACTACCTTATATCATCCCATGGGTGTCGTAAGAAACGACAGAGGGTAGCAAGACAGCAGAATGTTCTTGGTAACAACTGTGTAATAAATAGAAAATTGCGTTCGCCAACTCGCTTGCCAATCGTGATGACTAAGGTACATATCCTAGGGATGGGCAAGTTACAAAATATATCGATATTCATCTTATCGATCGTTTTAAACAGTATTTATAATTATCGCGTGGTAAATATTGATATATCGTTCTATTTTGCATTATGTAGTGGGATGAGGGCCAAAATTTTATTACTGGACGTGAATGAAGCACATGAATGCTTTTGTAGTTTTACTTTGTTGTTTAATTGTTTCTTCTGTTAAATTACATTGTCTATTACATTATAAAATAAATTTATCATTTTAAAATATATCGAAATTGATACGAATTCGATACTCTAAATTAAATATCGATATATCGCGATAAATAATATCGATAATTTTGTGAGAAAATATCGATATTGCGATGTGTCGATGTTTTTTACCCAAGTCTAAAATATGCCACCTTAGAGTCAATCTATAGGAGAGGTCTTTCAGCAGTAGACTTACACACTGCAATGACAGACAGACAGACAGACTGCAATGGTAATAAGATCCGAATGAAAAATAATAATGACGTGTCTTACCAGTTTTAAGATCACTTCCCTCCCTCAATTGCGTGCACTATCCCCGTCACCACTAATCCCAGCACCATTATACTGGGATTCTAGTGGTTAGCCATCACAGGGTAATTTCTCCGGATTATGTCTTGTGTAGAGGCGAAACCGTGTCGTATTGTCGCCGGTGGTGTCTCTTTCCTAGTGTAGTGGTGGTGGGAGTATGGTGACGGGGATGGTACACGCAATGAGGACATCCACGACTTTTTCTGCCACCAGAGCGGCGCCACTAGAAAGTGAGGTATAATATTTGACAGATTTCATGGCGGGGAAGATAATTTGTTTGTAAAATGTAAAAGTTATAGTTTCTTTTTTGTACTATTAGCTATATTTTTTATTAATAAGATTAAAAATAAATAAACCAAACCACAGATATTCATAAAAGTAGAAAAAATTAAAAAAAGTTTAAAATGTGCTGAAAATTAAAGAGCAAACCACTGACGCATAGTTTTGTGTATTAATATAATACTCCAGAAACTGATAGACTTTTATTTAATAACAACTTCTCAATTAAATTACATTGTGTAACAAAAAACTTCACTTCTGTGTCAACTAGCGACATCTGTTGAGCAGAAAATTATTAGTCCTCATTGAGGGAGGGGAGAGAATTGCTTTTTAAATTAGTTTGAAGATCAGTACTCTCTGAATTTCTTACTATGGTAAAACACATCATATATATGTTTTACACAAATCTTAGCTTGTTTTTGTAAACATCCTTAATTTTGGGATAGGCCCGTTCTACCCAGCTCCCCCTCTATATACGTCAATGCGTTGTGATGCGTTGCGTTGACGGCTCCGTGGCTTAAAAATGAGTTGCAGGATCGCTGAGGGCTACGGGTTCGAATCCCGCACGGAACAAGTACTTGTATGGCCTACAAATAATTGTTCCGGGTCTTGGGCTGAGATCTATAGATCGTACTTTGACTTTGCTCAGACTTAGCTTACGAAAAACTTTGCTGAGTATATGCTTAGCATAAACTTTGATTCTGAATTTATAGTTGTATCGGGCTAAGATTAAGCTAAACTTATGATAAGGCCCAGACAGTCCAAATATTAATGGATGCTTCATTTCACGCATTATGTTTTTGACTTTACTGTATAAAATTGAAAAATATATACATTTAAAATAGAATCGTCCAAATTGTATTCCATTAATAAGTTATAATTACATGAATTAGAAAACGGACGTATGAGAACGGGAACGGACGAGATATGCGAAATCAAAAAAGAGAAAATAATAAGATTTTAAGAAATTTGAAATAAGATTGAAATTACGTAAATATAATTTTTTTTTATAGGATCGTGTGACAAACGAGCACACAGTCCACCTGATGGTAAGTGGTTACTGTGGCCATAGACATCTACATCTATCCTCAATAAAGACACAAGATGCAGATGCGTTGTCACCCGTGAGGACTAAGATGTAATGCCTCTTTGCCAGTAAAAAGGGTCTCCGGTTCTCTACACTCACCATTCGAAATACAGCAGCTATTTTACGCTGGTATTCTGTGAGAGCGTGGTCCTTCCCCGGTCGAGCCGACCCATTCGTGCTACAACCATAATATAGCTGCAGCATGGCTCTACCACGTAGAAAAAAAATGGAACTATGTTATTTAAAACTAGAAGACAGCCTAAAACTACCTATTTATTGTTATAATTAATTAGAGTAACATAAAAACAACAATTTAAAATTAATACGGTGGTTTTAAATAATATCCTGAGTTTTACGTAAGTCGTCGATATCGTTGACTTAAGCTTTGCTGAGCGGCGCACTCAGCACGACTTCGAAGTTAGCTCTATAAATACCGACATTGTCTTAGCTCGAAAGTAAAGTCTGAGCAAAGTCAAAGTACGGTCTATAGATCTCAGCCTTAGTGTTTATACTCTTGCAATTTATGTGTATAAACTGCCCCCACGATACAGGAGAAAATCCTAGTGTGGAGATAATGTTTAAAAAAAAGAGAAGAGAAAAGAGAATGGTTAAGCAACTGAATTTCCATACCCTTTTGTAGGAATCCAGTTCCTCCAGCACGCGGAACGCTGTCGAGGCCTGATCTACCTCCTGGATGGTTCCGATGACCCACTGCATCAGCACCAAACCCTCATGTTCGAGCTGGCGCAGTACAACGCTGCCCTGGCCGAAAGACCCAGTGTCGTGGTCATCAATAAAATCGATTTACCAGAAGCAAGGAAGAGCTTTGAGGAGTTGAAGCAGAAAATGGACGTTATAGGTATCTCGGCGAAGACTGGAATCAATTTGAATGAACTCTTGAGGGTAGTTAGGATAATGTACGATGGTGAAAATAACGAATCATAATTTAATAATAAATGTTTAAAGTTTAAATTGTTTTATTATGTAATTAATTTATCTTTTTTTAACTATAAGTCAGTTTTTTCGGAACGAAGGTCTTTCACGCACGGTACGAATTGACAAATGGAGCCTAGGCGACAAAAAGTTTAAGATATTTCCGTCACGACCCTCTTTATATAGTGAGAGCGAGATGGAATAATATCCATCTCCCTCGCCCTTTTTTATCTTGCCGTGAAATAAATGTTATTTTAAATGACGCTTCATTTTAACAGGAGCTAGTAATTTATTTGTATTTGTTAATCAATAATAATACACTACGAAAGGAACTTCGTTCCAACCGAGTGTTCCACGACACTCATGTTGCATGTTTTTTTTTTTTAATTATAGTAAAATCATCCAATCTCAACGGATACTAGCCGTTGCGCGGGACAGGATTATAGTGCCCAAGTGTATGCGCAAGCACAGGGTGCACTCTCTATTGCCTCGCTCTCATAATCCAATGGGTCGACTTCGACACGAGCGGAGAGAGATCAGGCGCAGGACCAACGGCTTTACGTGCTTTCATTATATGCTCGCATATTGAATAAAATTATCTTAATATACCATTCCACGATTTCATAAGTTAACGCCATCTAGCGTCTATAGTACGTGCAACTTTGAGAGTCAATCAAATGTTCCTTACAAAACTGCCTATAGTGAGCAGTAGATGGCACTATAATCAATATTATTTTGCTTTATTACACTAAAATAAGGATTGTATATGCGCAATATCCTCTTAGTAAACTGCTATAAAATTAAACTTTTATCTTATATTTAATGCCGCACTTGTAGTTGAAAATTATCATATTATTAAATAAATCATTTGCCGTGAAATATTTATATTTCACTTCATATGAAGGTTTTACTTGTGAAGCATGTGAACTGGACACATTTATTTTTATTTTCTTACATTTTAGACAGTGGTAGAGCCACGCGGCAGCTTTTGCTGTCGCACGGATGGGCCGGCTCGAACCGGGGTGGTACCACGACCTCACAGAAAACCAGCGTGAAGTAGAGGTTTACCTCTGCGTTTCGCTTGGTGAGTGCAGGTGGCCGGAGACCCTTTGTACTGGAAATGTGGCATTCCATCTTAGTCCTCACGGGTGACAACGCATCTACATTTTGATTCGCAAACAAGGATAGATGTAGATGTCTATGGGCCGCAGCAACCACTTACCATCAGGTGGACTGTGCTCGTTAAAAAAAAAAAACATAGTCATCTGATTCTGCGCTACATTCAAAATGTCAGTCTCTAGCTCATCGGGAAGTTAGTTAAAATCAATTACTGAATTCGACCCGAACAGACAGACATACACGAAAGCGAATGAGGGCTAACAATTTTCTGCTCAGCAGATGTCGGTAGTTGACACTGAGGTAAAGTTTTTTGTTACACAATGTAATTTAATTGAGAAGTTAGTTTTAAATAAAAGTTTATCAGTTTCTAGAGTATTATATTAATACACAAAACAATGTGTCAGTGGTTTGCTCTATAATTTTTTTACACATCTGTAACTTTTTTTAAATTTGTCTACTTTTATGTATAACTCTGGTTTGGTTTATTTATTTTTAATGTTATTAATATAAAATATAGCTAATAATACAAAAAGAAACAATAACTTTTACATTTTCCGAACAAATTAACTTCCCCACTATGAAAAAAAGTTGTAAGAGATATCATTTTTTGCCGTTGGAATATAGACGTAAAGTCAATGATATTTGTTCCCTAGTTAATATTGTAAATGGATCTATTGATTCTTCTGAGCTACTTACATAATGATTCGAACCGATTTAATGAGATTTAGACAGCGACCCCTGCTATATATACCTCTTGCTTCAACGAATTATAGAAGAAATTCCTTCTTTCTGCGTAGCGCAATGGAATTTAATAAACTTTCATCTGTAGTAGATATTGATCTATTTTCTACTAGTTCTAAATCTGTAAAAAAAAGTGATGAACAGAGAATTTTTCACTCACAGTTGCAATGACTCAAGTTGCAAGCTCCTTGGTCTCATAGAAAGTTAAACTATGTGTTTCTTTTTTCTTGTTATTGTTTTTGCCTATTTTTTTTTTGTTTATGTTATTTTTTTTATGAGTATTTTAAGTAATCCCTAGAGTATTTTAAATTTGTATAAAGTTGGATTAAAGTCATATGTGGAGGCTTGCAATTAGCAATTCTTATCACCATTTTGTAACTTTAACGAAGATATTAAGTCTGTAAGCCTTCCTAAAATGACTAAAAAAATTAATAAATAAATAAATCTGTCAAATATTATACGTCACTTTCTAGTGGCGCCGCCCTGGTGGCAGAAAAAAACATTAACAAAAACATGGCAAAAACCCTATCCGATTACTGGATGACCTATTTCAAGTCGTAGGTACTTTATAAAACGAAAATTTGACTGTGGATTCTTGGGGCTTGTCATAAATAAAAAGACAAAAATACATATTCAAAATACATATTTATTTACAATCGTTTCGAATGTTTCGTACAATCAGATCAGTTGTTGGCTTATTATATTTTCAGTCTAAAAAATTAACTTAACTCTTACACGTGATTTTTTATTTGTGCATAAAAACGGTTCACAAATGACTACAATCATTAAAAATATTTAGACGCATACAAATAAATTATTAGTCTGTGATTTTCGAGTGTTTTCATTATGAATATATTTGTCATAATCATTATTACAGCCAAGGAATGCCACAAGGCACGGACCTGAGCCACCTGCATCCGTCTACTTCCTGCGTGTCTTACCAGGTCGTCATCAGGTGGGACTCCTAGGAAACGATATAGATATCTATAGGCCACAGCATTAACTGATCATCAAGACTGCGCAGATTTGTTTGTCTACCCACGTAACAAAACGTGGTAATGTAACCTCTTACTTGGTCACAACTGTAAGTCTTTTCATAACCAAACGAGATCATAGTTGATACGCGTCGATAAAAAATTTAAAAGCACAGACAAATATATTTATTTCGTTATAATCAATAAAGTAAATTTTAGGCGGGGCCAGGATGAGGCGGGAGGATATGTTGCGGAGGCAGTAGAGACGGCATCAGGTCGTTCTGCATCTTCTTCGCTTTTCTCGTCTTCTTCGGTTGTACTTTCATCTGCGGAAGTACACGAAGCAATTTCATTATTTTTTTTTTCTAAGCCAGCGCCGAACTACAATCCCACCTGATGGTAAGTGGTGATGTAGCCAAAGACGGTGAAGCGCACTGACTTAATAAAAGCCTATTCACTCTTGCCTTGAAGACACTAGACTTTGTAATTGTATGGAAAGACACATGCTGGCAACTTATTCAACTCCTGTCTGTCGTCGCATGACGAACGACAAACTCATTAAAGATGTTAAAAATTAATTAGGTAAGACTCCAGTAGAGCCTACCTCACCTGAGGATGCCTCGTGTAGAGGCGGAACCCGTTACGTATTATCGACGGTGGTGTGTCTTCCCTAGTGCAGTGGTGTTAGTAGTGGTACTGAGATTAGTGGTGACGGGATAGTGCACGAAATTGAACGAATGGGAGGTGCTCTTCAAACTAGGTAAGATCCGTCATTTTATTTTATAACGCGGGTCTTAGCTAATAGTCTTTAATACCTTTAATATCCCTTCAAGCGTTGGGTGAGTACGTGTAGTGGTACAGTGCACAAGTGAGTAGTACGTGTAGTGGTACAGTGCACAAGTGAGTAGTACGTGTAGTGGTACAGTGCACAAGTGAGTAGTACGTGTAGTGGTACAGTGCACAAGTGAGTAGTACGTGTAGTGGTACAGTGCACAAGTGAGCAGTACGTGTAGTGGTACAGTCACAAGTGAGTAGTACGTGTAGTGGTACAGTGCACAAGTGAGTAGTACGTGTAGTGGTACAGTGCACAAGTGAGTAGTACGTGTAGTGGTACAGTGCACAAGTGAGCAGTACGTGTAGTGGTACAGTCACAAGTGAGTAGTACGTGTAGTGGTACAGTGCAAAAGTGAGTAGTACGTGTAGTGGTACAGTGCACAAGTGAGTGGGTACCTTGTAGTGCACTTCCCGCACGTGTCGGTACAGACTGGAGTACCAGCCGAACGCAGCACTGCATCGCTCGCACTGGTACGGGGTCTCGCTGGTGTGCATCGCCACTATATGGTACTTCAGCTTGGCCGCGTTCTGTTCACAGTGCACTTGTAAAGGATTAATGTGATAGGATTTTTAGCTTTCACAAACAATTTATATTCATAGAACACTCAGATATTTAGAATAGAATAGAATAGAGTTATTTTTATTTAATATAGTTTACAAAAATACTTATTGAGAGTCATTTAAGCTTTACCACGGGTTCGAAAAAAACTGCTGACTTGGGAAGAGCCAGCTAGAAAACCAAGGAGACTTTTTTTGTAAATATAATTAATTTATAATATATTATGTTATTTTTTTTATAGAATTAGGGTGACAAACGAGTACACAGTTCACCTAATTGTAAGTGGTTGCTGTGGCCCATAGACATCTACATCTATCCTCGATTACGAATCAAAATGCAGATGCATTGTCACCCGTGAGGGCTAAGATGGAATGCGTCGTTTCCAGTAAAAAAGGGTCTCCGGTTCTCTACACTCACCATACGAAACACAGCAGTGTTAAGCTGCTATTTTACGCTAGTATTCTGTGAGAGCGTGGTCCTTCCCTGGTCGAGCCGACCCATTCGTGCTACAACTATACTAGTAATATAGCTGCAGCATGGCTCTACCACGTATATAAAAAGGTTCAGAACCCCTGATCTAAACCATACAAACCAAAATAATTCGCTATCGTATCGTAGACCAGCAGTTCGTTCAGGCTTCACTCTTATCCTGGATTTCTCTCACCTCACTACATGGTTGAACAGTTATTTCTTTCAAAAACCTCTCAGCTACTCGTATTCTGTACTAGCTGTTCCTCGCGACTTCGCCCGCGTGTAATTTAGGGTTTTAATTTTGTTGCGCGGAACCCTAATTATTTTTCAAAAATATAAGTAGCCCAAGTTACTCCTTATAACATGAGCTATCTACCAGTAAAAGCCCCGTCAAAATCGGACCAGCCGTTTCGGAGATTAGCCGGAACAAACAGATATACAGACAGACAAGACAAACAGACAGACAAAAATTTTAAAAATTTTGTTTCTGTTATAGGTACTGTATATACTTTCATATGCATTTAGTAAAAAGCTGTTATTTTGACATTACAAACAGATACTTCAATTTTTATTTATTTGTATAGATGTATTGATTCCAGAGTCAGTAACATGAAGCGATGTCTACGCTATTACAACAAAGTCCCATAAAACATACAAGGTCACTCTATTACCAAGTTTAAATATGTTATTAAACAAAAACTGTATAAAAAGGGTTATTAGGTTTAGGTTAGGTTTAAAGACTTACATTAAAAATATTAAAAATAATAACAAAATTTTAATTCGTTATGGTGGTCATTGTAAATTTGTGTACTCAATTAACACATTGGTCTATTTTGTGTAATTTTTTAAAACGTATTCTACTAATTTTGCTTTAAATGTGTTAAATAAGTGTACATTTTTAATGTGTGCAGGTATGTTATTATATGTTAATGTTTTTCTACCATAGGACGTTCTAGTTTTAGGTACGACAAGAAAGCTGGCTGTTCTCGTTCTTCGTTGTCTGAGGTGTTTTGCTTTTGTGAAAGTGATACTGGACTGAATGTTTTTGTCAATAATTTTCCGCATTAAAAGACACGAGTGGTAAATGTATAACTGTTGTATGGTCATAATTTTTGTTTCACTATAGATTTTTGAGATGGATTTTCGAAAAGGATATTTGGGATAATTGGGAGAGTATTTTTATGACTTTATTTTGAGCGACTTGATTCATGGTTGATAATAGCCCCTGGTAATGATGTGGTCACTTCCAAACTGTTTCTAAAATGACTATTGTAAACAATTGTACAATTTGTATTATATAATTTAATAAGGAAAAAAAAAGTCCCACTGGGTTTCTTATTGGTTCCTCCCGGAACAGAGGTTTTTTCCGAATAATGTGTTTTAATTATTATTACGTGGTAGAGCCATGCTGCAGCTATATTAGTAATATAGTTGTAGCACGAATGGGTCGGCTCGACCGGGGAAGGACCACGCTCTCACAGAATACCAGCGTAAAATAGCAGCTTAACGCTGCTGTGTTTCGTATGGTGAGTGTAGAGAACCGGAGATCCTTTTTACTGGTAACGAGGCATTCCATCTTAATCCTCACGGCTGACAACGCATCTGCATTTTGATTCGCAAACGAGGATAGATGTAGATGTCTATGGGCCACAGCCACCACTTACCATCAGGTGGACTGTGTGCTCGTTTGTCACCCTATCCTATAAAAAAAACCACCAGTCAAATTATAAAATTTACATTAAGAATTATTTATAATCTTCATTCAGTAAAACAATTATTTGTACAGTCCAAAAACCATACATTTAACTTCATAGTGAAGCGATTCGAACCGCCGCGTCGCTTATTACTTATAATGTAACATTTCTTAATTAAACTTAGTGTGTGTATTAAACTGTTGAAGTAACAAAACGTATGCTTACTTTATATGTCATACCTACTTATGTACTACTAGCTGTTCCCTGCAACTTCGCCCGCGTGTAATTTAGGGTTTTAATATTTTTTTTTGCGCGGAACCTTAATTATTTTTCTAAAATAAAAGTAGCCTAAGTTACTCCTTATGACATCAGCTATCTGCCAGTGAAAGTCCCGTCGAAATCGGTCCAGCCGTTCCGGAGATTAGCCGGCACAAACAGACAGACAGACAAAAATTTTTAAAAGTGTATTTTTGTTTCATATTATGCATTTAGTAAAAAAGCTGTAATTTTGACATTACAAACAGACATTTCAATTTTATTTATTTGTACCAATATCTAACAAATCTCTAACAAAACATGTACTTACTTTATACGCCACACATACTGACGTACTATCGACTTAAACTGTTTTTAAACTACCAACGTATTTACGTCCCGCTGCTAGGCACCAGGCCTCCTCTCACTTCTGAGAGTTTCAGGGCAAGCAAATGTCCGCCGCGCTGCCCCAATGGGTGTTGGCGAACTTTACATGCCTTAGAAATACTTTTTTAAATCTTATTTCTCAGACATGCAGGTTTCCTCACGATGTTTTACCTTCACCGCCGAACACGTGGTGAATTAGCACTTAAAATTGCATTTAACAATTTCATTGGTGTTGAACCCGGATTGCTCGCGTACTGTGAAATTTACAAGTTAGGGGGCCTTGTTACATTACCTGATACGACTTGCCGCAGACGTGGCAAAGGTTGTCTTTCTTCTCCTTATTCTGGTGAACGTTCTGCATGTGCACGTACAGGGACGTGTGGCACTTGAACGGCTGCGACATATATTTACATAATATGCAAACAATATGTTTACAAACACTTTTAAGTTACTAAAATAGCTATACCATGTAATGGCGGTGTGAGAATGTCCACTACCCCATATCATCCCGTGGATGTCGTAAAGAACGACAGAGAGAAACTGAAACAGGAGGTGGGCAGCAGCATCTTCCTAATAACGAATAGACATTAAAAAAACTGTGGTTGCTAACCCACCTGCCAAGCATGGCAACTATGGCACAATCCCCATCTAAGAGACAATCCATAGGGGTGGCCAATGTTCAGCAGTTGACGTCGGGACAGAATGCGGTGATCGTAAACACTCACGCCTGTCACCCAGAGAGATAGGCAGAAACTACGCACTTCTATGTGGCACGATCCTTATTCACCTCTCTCGCCACCTTTACAACCTACGCATACATTACATACTCGTCGGTTAAAGGTACTCCATTTTCAATATATCGCCAATTTGGTCGATAAACTTTCGCCTAGGGCGTCCCTTCCCTACTCTGCCGTTCATTTCTGCAACGTATATTTGCTTTGCTTTGTCATTCTTTCTACATAACCAAACCGCCGAAGCATTCCTTTCTTAATAGGTTGTGTAATGTATAGAAGATAATCTACCAGGAGCACATGACCCGCTGAGAGGTGAAATTATTAAATCAACAGTAACATTACAACTATGGCAAATATCCCCATATGATGCAATCTATGGGGTAGCCTACGAGGGTGGATTGAAAAGTACTCAGCCTAACACAGATCCATTCAATTCTAAAAATCAAATCTACCCACATTATTTAGTTCAGTTCAGACTTGTTCATTGTGTGAAGTTCGAAACGTGTGCGATAATTAGTTGTGATTTTATAAATTTATTAACAAAGTAATCGGACATAATTTCCGCGAATGGAGCAAATCGAGCAGCGTGCCGTCATTAAGTACCTCCATAAGAAGGGGCTATCATCAAAAGCCATCCATGATGACATGGTCAGTACATTAGGCGATTGTGCTCTGTCATATTCATCCGTCAAAAAATGGATAGCAGAATTTAAGCGTGGTAGAGAGAGTGTGAAAGATGAACCCCGCTCTGGAAGGCCTTCGACGTCAACTACTGACGAACATATTAAAAAAGTACTTGATTTAATAATGGGAGACCGCAGATTAAAAATTAGAGAGATAGCCGAGATTATAGGCATCTCTTATGAACGAACTCAAAACATCATTGTCAACGAGTTGGGTTTCCACAAGGTGTCTGCGAGGTGGGTTCCGCGACTGCTTTCAGTTGAACAAAAAAGGACGCGATTGACTATTTCACGCGACTGTTTGGAGTTATTTGAAGCCGATGCAGATGATTTTTTGAATCGTTTTGTTACTATGGACGAAACATGGGTTCATTACTGTACACCGGAAACAAAACAACAATCAAAACAGTGGAGAAGACCTGGTTCACCACCCCCTAAAAAGGCTAAGTCGATTTTGTCGGCAAATAAGGTGATGGCTTCAGTATTCTGGGACTCGAAATGTGTGATTATGATTGATTATCTTGAAAGGGGTCAGAATATAAACTCTGATTACTACTGCACCTTACTACGTCATTTACGAGAGGAAATAAAAGAAAAACGTCGAGGAATGCTCAGAAGAAAAGTCCTGTTTCATCAAGATAACGCCCGTGTTCACACGTCAGTACAGTCAATGGCTGAAATTCACAACTGTGGCTTTGAACTGTTACCGCATCCGCCGTATTCACCTGATCTGGCACCATCAGACTTCTTTCTGTTCCCTAACCTAAAAAAGCACTTGGGAGGTCAAAGATTTTCGACAAACGACGAGGTCAAAGCAGCTGTAGACGCATATTTTGACTCTAAGGAAGAATCATTTTTTTTCAACGGTCTAAATGCTTGGAAGGGGAGGTGGCAAAAGTGTATTGAACTTGATGGTGATTATGTAGAAAAATAAAAATATAACTGATTTAGTATTTGTTTATTTTCTTGGTTAGGCCGAGTACTTTTCAATCTACCCTCGTATGTTCAGCAGTGGACTTTTTTATAGACTGTAATGGATGTATGTATAGAAGATAATCTACCAGGAGCACATGACCCGCTGAGAGGTAAAATTATTAAATCAACAGAACATTACAACTATGGCAAATATCCCCATATGATGCAATCTATGGGGTAGCCTATGTTCAGCAGTGGACTTTTTTATAGACTGTAATGGATGTATGTATAGAAGATAATCTACCAGGGACACATGACCTACTGAGAGGTGAAATTATTAAATCAATGCTCGGGCCACACTAACGAGAAATGCCGTTAAATGTAAGTGTGGCCACGACTTAACGCGTTAATTTGACACAGCCATCTTCTCTATTGAAATTAAGATGTTTTTTAATTTCAACAGCCTAGCGAATCATACTTGGTAGGAATCGGTGTTCTTTTACAAGGATTTGTGGTCTATCTAATTCTGATGTAATGGCGGGGACGATCTTGAATATATTCACAGTACACACAAAAAGTTAAAATTAAACGCGATAAAATCCGTAAAGTTAGTTTCATTCACAAATATAAGAGATCACGACTCACCTTGTTACACAGCTGACACCTGAACTTGATTTTCTTGAGGTGCTCCCAGTCTATGTGGTCCCGGAGTCGAGTCTTGTTCACGAACTTCTTGCCGCACTCGTCGCACGTGAAACTGGAAGACATCCCATGTATGATTTTAAATATTATTACAAAAAAAAATCTGATCGGAGAAAGCTGGCTCCAATATCATAGAATACCAGCGTAAAATAGCAGCATAACGCTGCTGTGTTTCGTGTGATTTAATAATTTCACCTCTCAGCGGGTCATGTTCTCCTGGTAGATTATCTTCTATACATTCATCCATTACAGCCTAATAAAGTCCACTGCTGAAAGATAGGCCTGCCCCATAGACTTGGCTCATAGGAGAGTTATTTGCCATAGTGTAATGTTACTGTTGATTTAATAATATCACCTCTCAGCGGGTCATGTTCTCCTGGTAGATTATCTTCTATACATCCATCCATTACAGCCTATTAAAAGTCCGCCGCTGAACATAGGCTACCCCTATGGATTGCCTCATAGGGGGGGGGGGGGGATTCTGCCATAGTTGCCACGCTTGGCAGGCGGGTTGGCAACCACAGTTTTTTTTTTATTTTCTAGTCGTTATTAGGAAGATGCTGCTGCTCATCTCCTGTTTTAGTTTCCCTCTGTCGCCTCTTACGACACCCACGTGACGATATGGGGTATTGGACATTCTTACACCGTCACTGTTCTGTAGAGAACCGGAGATCGTTTTTACTGGAAATGAGGCGTTCCATCTTAATCCTCAGGTGTGAACGCATCCGCATTTTGATTCTTAACCGAGGTTAAATGTAAATTTCTAATTTCTATAGGCCACAGCGTCCATTTATCATCAGGTGGGCTGTGTGCTCGTTTGTCACACTTATTATATTAAAAAAATAATAATGTTGAAGACATCATAATCATTATTTCAAATTCGAATCTATTTTTATTTGTGACTACTTACAAGAAGTGAGACGGAACCGATCTTTATTTCAAGCATTATTCAAAAATATCCTTTAATGTTGACTAATAATTTTCCGCTCACCAGATGTCGCTAGTTGACACCGAGGTAAAATTTTTTTGTAACACAATATCAGTTAATGGAGAAGTTTCGTTTTAAATAAAACATTATCAGTTTCTAGTGTATTATATTAATACAAAAAATAATGTCTCAATAGTTTGCTGTTTAATTTTTTTGCACATTTTTAACCCTTTTTTATTTTATATAATTCTCTGAATATCTATTGGTGTGGTTTATTTATTTTTAATCTAATTAATATAACAAACAACTAATATTACAGAAATGAACAGTAACCTTTACATTTTCCGAACAAATTAACTTCCCCGCTACATATTTTCAAATATTACATCTAATTTTCTAGTGGCGCCGCCCTGGTGGCAGAAAAAGTCGTGGCCTTCATTGGAGTCAACTGGTCCAAATATATTAAAACGTCATAATCATTATTATAGGTTTCCATAGATTGCCTCATAGGGGGATTTTTTTTATAGGATAAGGTGACAAACAAGCACAGAGTCCACCTGATGGTAAGTGGTTGCTGTGGCCCATAGACATCTACATTTATCCTCAATAAAGAATCAAAATGCAGATGCGTCGTCACCCGTGAGGACTAAGATGGAATGCCTCTCTTCCATTAAAAAGGGTCTCCGGTTATCTACACTCACCATGCGAAACACAGCAGCATTAAACTGCTATTTTACGCTGGTATTCTGTGAGAGCGTGGTCCTTCCGACCCATTCGTGCTACAACTATACTATTAATATAGCTCCAGCATGGCTCTACCACGTACAAAAATTGTATATTTCAAATTTTAATTTCATTTGATTTGTGAATATAACACTGAATAAATCTTTGAAATTTCTAAATGTTTTACATACATACATAATTGTATAAAAATTGTGCGCCTGCAAAACGCGATAAACATTTATTTGCTAAAATATTTTTCTACAAGTGCAGACTTAAAATAATCTCGTCGTGAAAGACTGCATTGTGGAGAAATGCTCCAACCCACAAAAGCAAAGTTAATCAGTATTTCAATTATTCAATGCATAATACAAAGATAATTGCATTTCATGTGGCAGAAGCCCAATATTACATCACTGAACACGTATTTTATTTTATTATTTTTCGAAAACTTACAGCTAACATTAACAATAAATAAATGAATAACAACTAGAAGGCCATTTAAAAGTTTTCACCTATAAGCAATATGAACTTAAAAATAATAATTCTAGTCGGTAAAAGATAAACATCGATTAAGACAAATACAGTAAATTAATAAAATTAAACAGAAGAACACTCAACAAAAGAATTTTTGCGCTAAAATATTTTTTAATTGAGAAACACTGGTATTAAACATATCCAAGTCAACGCTATTGGAAATGTCATTAAAAGTTCTGCATGCACGTATCATAAAAGAATTAGTAATTAATTATAGTGCTCATAAAAATAGTTGTTTCTTAAAACTTTAATAACTTTATATTATTTTTTCTAGATAAGGACCAAGTGTATAATTAGTAAAACTTAGAAAACCTAATGAGGGCGCCACCACAACTTTCACTGACATCCACGACTTTTTCTGCCACCAGGGCGGCGCTACTTTACAATGAGATAAAAATCTTTGACAGACTTCATAGCGGGGACGATAATTTGTTAGCAAAATATAAACTTTAATGTTTCTTTCTGTATTATTTGTTATATTTCATATCAATTAGATTAGATATGAATAAACCAAACTTTAATATAACGAAAAGTAGAAAAATAAAAAAAGAGTTATAAAATACAAAAAATTTAAAATTAATTAACTGACATTGTGTATAGCACTCATTGAAATCTATCCATTAGTTTTTCCGTGATGTGCGCACAACTGCAAACCTCTATCATTTTATTTATATAGATATAAAAAAAATGTAAATTTTGGGATTACATGTTATTTTTCGGAAGTCTTGGCAACTCGTATATTATTCGTAATTTACTTCACAGAATCGACCTATGTGTCAGTAGAGGGCAGTAGTAGCATAAGTAATTACAGCTATAAAAGTTCATAATTACATTATGTAGATGGCGCTAGTGGTATTTTAATACGCGCTATAGTTTAACCGAACTGCGAATCATTAACGCTTACAGATTCTTTTGCAACGTGTTCAGCAGTGGACTTTAAAAGGCTTAAAAATTAATTTTTTTTTAAACCTTCTGCATGCTCAGTGCAGATAGGTTTTATAAACTTAACTATGGGATAGGAGAAAGATATAAGGTATGGGCTATGGAAAAATAATTAAAGTTTATTCATTTATTAATAAATAAATGAAAGAAATTAACGAATAATGTAGTGTAGTGTAGTGTAAAAAAAATTGGAAGAAGTTCACAAATATCTAGTTTATTTTTTATATAGTTTATTGTCCAATATTTTTGTTTTTGCCGATTGATTGAAGAAATAGTAATTTTGAGACAAAGAAGTACCTTTCAATATGTTTCTCTGTTGATAAAGAGTTGAGCCAGCTATTGAAAATAATTTAAAAATAAAATTTTTGTACAACTGACTTCAATATAAATTATTAAGGATAACTCAAAAACTATTGGTCAGACTTATATGGGACCACATAACGACGCACCAGCTTACAAATAAAAAAAAATTATCGAAATAGGTTCACCCAAAAAAAGTTATAAGGTAACACACATTAAAAAAAAAGAACATACAGTTTTCTTGACTTTTGACAACACAACTGCAGGCTCAACGCCTCTTTCTACATTCAATTATAAAATATTATTAAAACATAATATGTCTGTTATATTAAAATAAATATACAAAGTATTATAAAGTGCCAACAAACTGATTTTAAAAATTACGTGTCACATTGTTTGTCCGCGATGAACTCGCTAAACTACTGAACTGACTTCAATGAAATTATGCACACTCTGTGCAGTTTGGTCCAACTTGAGAGATAGGATAGTTTTTATCCTGATAAGTGACACTCAATATTTTTTTACTACGAATTTAAGGATTTTTATTGGAGATAGGGTCATCTCAGGAAAGGGCAGAACGTCTGCCTGGTCAACTAGTCTTTATGTATAAAAATTACGTGTCACATTGTTTGTCCGCGATAAACTATTAAACCACTGAAATTATTTCAATGAATTTTCGCACACTGTGTGCAGTTTGGTCCAACTTAAAGAGATAATGTTTTATCCCGATAAATGACTCTGTATTTTTTATTGCGAATTATTTATTGCAAAGGATTTTTATAGTGCAAAGGTTCGCCGCTAAGGGCAGAACAACGTATGCCTGGCCAGCTAGTATTATATACATAGAATTATTACGTAAGAATACTAGTACGCGCACCAACAATGAAGCAAGTAAAACTAACGCGAAACCGCGTAAGTTGACTCTTTCAAAACTGCTTGATTTATTAATTCCAAATTTATTTCAAAGTATAAAGCAAGCATTGTGATAATAGTGTTAGTAAAAGAAGTACTTATTAAAAACGAACAAAAAGCTTTGTAAATATATATATATATATATATATATATTAATAAATTAATATATAATACTTTTGATTTAGTGATAGTAAATAATATAGAAATAGCTTCAGTTTAGGTTTTAATATAATAAGGAAACAATGTCGCGAGATAACTCAAAGTGTTCTGAGGGAGTTTTTCGAAAAAAACTGACAATTTAAATAAAAAAGCGCGTTGTAATATATGTAAATACCGGCCAAGTGCGAGTCGGACTCGCGCACCGAGGGTTCCGAACAAATCCGTAGGTATATAAGTTTAAAATTATTAAAAATATGTTTATTATATGATGTAACTAAAAATTTATGCTTTTCGCAATTTTTCCTTTATCTGTACTATAATACGTTGCTTCGTACCAAATTTCAAGATTCTGAGTTCACGGGAACTACCCTGTAGGTTTTGATTCCCCTGCGAAAGTCGAAAATTTGCGGCATAAACGGCTGTATCTTTTGATTGCGTTGGCTTAGAAGTTTGATTTTTTCACAGCTCCAAGGGACAGTAGACTTGAGTATTTGATATGAATTTCAGCTTGATACCTCCACACGTTCCTGAGAAAAAGGGTCTTGACAGACAGACAG